ATAAAAAAAGAAATGGAAGGCATTCATACCCATTTGAAGTGTACTTGTGTATTCATCTATCAATGATGAGTACAAAAAGCATCTAATCTCATTAGAAATTGATTGCCAAACTTATCTAGGTGCAATAAAGTATGTCAAAGATTAGTGGTTAGCAAAGTATAATGACAGATTTATTGTTACTTGGATAGATAAAGTAATGCACATTGGCAATGTTACAATAAATAGGTATGATTTATATTGCATTATTAAGATTATTTATAGTTTAGTGTTTCATAACAAATCATTAATATATCTTTATTAATTTGTTTAGGGTCAAGAGTGCACATATGAAATTAAAAAAGCACCTTAAGTCATCTCAAAGCGATTTTGATTTATCGTGAAAGATAATCAACGCATTTATTGAGCTCTAACATATAGAAATAAGGCTTCATTTGATCGAAGTCTTATGGTTGTCCAGCATAATTACAAGCTTTTATTGTTTAAAGAGTTACGAGGTTTAACATTTAAGAATGCACTGAATATGATATTGATAGAGGTTAAGCGAGCTAATCATGTTGAGATTAAAGCAAATGCTTATGATTACTTGATTAGAAACACACATAGATTACCTTGTACTTATGAAATTACAGAGCATATAAGAGTGAGAAGTTCAATTTATTTATTTGAAGTGCATATGCATTGGAAGAAATTGGATATAATGAAAATCAAGATAATGATATATCTGAAGAGTTGACTATCCAGTTTGAGATTGACAAAATCATAAAATACTTCAAAGAATGTGATGCATTCTGTAAATTGGCCATGAAAAAAAAGTTGTAAGAACTTTGTGATTTGTCAAAAACTACCTTGGTTCACCATTAGAGATGGCTAAGTCAAAAGGTTACAAAGTTATAAAAGCAGATACCTTTACACAACGTGACCCATCACATTAAGAAATTGTGTTATCGGCTTAGGATAGTACATCACTACCAACCACTGTAAACTCAGTGAAATTGACAACACAAATTGTTAAACTTCTTGTTTACTTTTTCCATGATAAACAAAAAATACGATATTTGGATAGTTTACTAGTAAAGTTACATCTGTATATACAGAGCATCATTATTGTTGAGGTGGATGGATATTATAGTTTTCATTCTATTATTAGGTTACTTGGATTGGGATTCGATGATTGGGTATAGGTGCGGCAAGATTTATTTAAAAAGCTTAATCGATTTCGGGATGATTATCTGACTTTGTATGGATCCATGAAGCGTGTTGAGAAATTGTTACAAACTTTATCGTGTTTTAACATTTTTGCCTCATGCAATAAATAGATGACCTTACTTGATATGAGTAATTTGATTGCCTTAAGATATAATATTGTACTAGTTCACATCAGTTTGAGACAGTACTTGACATATCTTCCTATTAGATTTGTACCATTTGCACCATTGGAATACAAAATAATTATGATTGGATTTGTTAATAGTTATCATTTTGTGCATGTACTATTAATTAGTGTTATCATTTATTGTTTCTATTTATTATTCATATTTTATGTAGTGTTAATAACATTATATAAATAATGTTTCTATTTTATGTAGGTGTTTATGAAGCCATTCTTACTAGTACCTCCTATTATATGCAATTGGCATAAAATTCGATATAATTATATTCAAGGATAGGAGATTCCATATATACCCCACATTAAAGATTTCAAGTTATTATTTAGTATAAATTCTTATATAACCACTCAAGAAACAATAGATATTGATTGATTTTTTTTGCAATACTTGTTTATCATATTAATGTATATGTTAACAATTTATATTAATGTTTAAAGTTTATATATTGAACATGTTATCTAATGAAATATTGTTATATTGAACATGTTATCTAATAAGATATGTTATATTGAACAAGTAATCTAATGGATATTTTATAAATATAACATACTATAATGGATGTTTATAAACATACTAAACTAAATAAAAGTAATGACATAAAGCATCAGTACATAATATCAATACATCAATCTTTATCCTTAGGCCTCTTAATTCAAAGACATCCACATGGTAGATGAGTGGGCCCTACTATTTATGTGGAACTCTCTAACAGGTCTGATACTATCATTTACATAGAAAAGAATGCTCATAAGAAAAGATGATGATGTGGCCATTACTAGTGGTAATGAGGATGGTACAAGCATGAGTGAGTTGAGAGGTGTCAATGTCAATAGGATTGGAGATGAGTGAGCATGATTAGGTTGGGAGGTGCCAATGTCAACAAGATAGGAGATGGAATGGGCATTGACGGCCTGGACGATCTAAGCGATTTAAATGCATGAAATGATGGTGCAGAAATCGATGTTTGATGCAATACTACTGATCTAAATTGATTACTACTTTCTGCTACAGTTAATGACAAGACAATAAAGCATGTACCATGATATCTACATCTTTTCATACATCAATACTCTAATCTAATTCGCTAAACAATACATGCTCAAAATAAAAAAAATGGCCAAGCTCTATTACAAAATATTAATAAGGTTATCAATATTGATAACATTAATTAAAATTAACAAAGTAATAAAAAACCATAAAATGATAGAATTTATAACTTACTAAATTACTGATAGGTGCAATATCTACCAACTAAGCTTGGAATCCAAATCTACATTTTGGGTTTTAAATTTAACGATATGAAATTGTTGTGATCTAGGCATTATAGTCAGAATAACACTCTCTGAGTCTCCAATATCTCCAGCCTTGATACTCATTCTACACAATGTGCATAAAGCTATATGCAAAATGATACGAGTTAGATGATAATCCTCAATCAACATGGAAAAGAGCCAATAAGGTCAAAGGAATAGTCTGTAAAAATCAAAACTGTCGTACAACCATCTTTGGATGATACAACTCTACGATTACGCCACACTTGATACATCCAATAAAAAAACAACATCATGCAATGGATGCTTTTCTCGTCAATCGACATATAGTTCCTAGCACTAGTCAAATACTGTCAACACATATAGGCACTGTCGTAAAGTTTACAACGTATCATCATAAGTATGACCCTTCCATCATCGAGCATGTGGTAAATCGTTTGTAAATGTCAATATGGCTACTAAGCTCAATGATGGAAAATGTTTATAAATCCACACCTGTATGAAATATGTGAGTAATATTTAACCACATAATCAAATATATGACTAATAATAAATAAATCAAATCATTATAATATGTTTTTAACTAATTATAAATACATACTTGAAGAAATGTCAGATAACCAATAATCTGATGCATGTTTGCTCTACTCACAATGTTAAGCTATCTATATAAATATGTATGACAAGTTGTACCCCAAGCATATCTACCCATGACAGTGATGTCAATTAGTAGGGTTAAGTACATTACTGATACTTTCAATGTGGTATTGTCAAGGAAAAACATACACCCTAGCAAATAGAGTAGAAAAGCCTATGATGCATAAACTATTGTCTCATCATTTGATGTATATATAACATCCTTAAAAGTATCCTGAAGACACTACAGTCGAACAACGAGTCCTTAAGCCTTTATAGTCTCTATTGTAGCCGCAGATACAAAAACTCCAAGTAACCTTACCAGTAGTATGTTTGCCTTATTGATCAATAAATAATTCACTAAAACTATGGTTTTAGTGATCGATATGTGTAGAATGGTGAACATATCACCTAACTTGATGGTCATCTCTCTGAATGACATATGAAAGGTGTTTTTCTCATGTTGTCACCTCTCATCAAAAGTCGCACTATCATGTTATTAATTGCACGATAGTTGCAGTCAATGAGTGAATCCAACATCGACTGGACAAAATTGGCTGAATACGATTATGTGCATCATTTAAATGCCATTGCTGTAACTTCGACCCATAATTAATTGATTCAATGTATCTCACTCTTGTAACAATAACAATAACAACAACAAAAATAAGATCAATAACATAACCATATCAACAATATAAATAATAACATCATCAACAACAACAACAACAATCAACCAATTCACTCTAAAGACATAAACTAACACGACTTGTATTATATGATCAAATGATTACCTTGCCATTCCATATTTGTAATGCCATATGAGATCCAAAGCTTAAAATAATAGATGTATCAATCAAACCTTTAGGAAATAATTCCACTTGCTTTACATTGTCATTTGCATCCTTACCATGATGTTCGTGTGTGGTAGTTCGATAGCTTCCTCATAATGCGTGGAAGGCTTAGCCTAAGAGATGTCATCTACTGTATAATCTTTTTGCTCACCATCCCTCACTTGGCATCTCTTCTCCAAGGCAGTTGGATGCCTCTAACTCGAATCGGGATCATTTTCAGTACCTCTACTTCTACTAGGAATACCTTCACCAATTTTATGAGCCATATCTTAAAAAAAATTTTAAAAAATAACTAATTAAGCTTACACAATATATTTAGCAAAACTTAAACTCAATATAAAATCATTATCAATAGAAAAATGACATTCTTTATTATCATAAACACAAAATGAATAGGGAAATAACGACAATGAGGATCAAGTCAAAATTTTCAAATTTTTATTTAATATAATCAAGACTTCTCAAAAATTCATTTTTGAGAAGCTGGAATTTGACAAACCTAATTCGTAAATCTTGCATTATATTTGCATGATTTAAATCAAATTAATAAAATTTAATCTCAAAATCTTACTTGTAATCAATGAAAGACTTAAAAATTTTATAATTTTGGAGTTAGTTTGATGGATTTAAAATTAATTTTGGATTAAAGTGAGAGATTGAAAAAGAGAAAATGAAGAATAATTTAAAGATGTAAAGAAAAATGTGAATTTATTGGATGGAGTGTATTTAAAAAAATAAAAATTTTAATTTTGAATGCAAGATATATTTAATAATGAAATGTAAAAAATAAATAATGAGATATAAATAGAATTACCCGTTAAGGAATTAAGATGCAAGAAAAAAAAAAAAAAAGTGCAACAAACATTGAAAAAAAAAAAAGATGCAGACAAAAACCAGTGGCTAGAGAAACGCGAAGGCGTTCATGTTTATCCACAGTGGACAGACCTATTTTCGTTTGGACCAAACCAGTTAAAAGAAAACAAAGGCTGCTGATCTAGAGGAAGGGTCCAAAGTAGTTGATGTGGCAACCCAAATCCATAACGCCTGGCCGCTGAATGATAATTGTCAGAAAAAGACCATCGCAATTTGTCTTCATTAGAAAATCTACGACCAATCTCTTCAGTGGGTGCAATTGTTGGCTCTTCTGGGGCCACATGCTTTGCTTGTGGTTGCCATTTCACTTCCCAATTCCCTTGGGTACTCCTCAACTCTCTCTCTCTCTCTCATTTAAACCAGTTTTCCTCCGGTCGTCCTTCTCTTTGTTTCAATCTTTCAAGGTCAAGCAAGTCAGTTTGCTCTCAACAGGTTAGTTTAACTCAGTTTCTTTCTTTGAATTCTTTTTTATTGTTTATTTGTAGATTAATGCATTTATGGCTGTTTTAAGCATTTTTCTAAGTGGGTTGCCAATGTTTTTTCACTTTTAGTTACTGTGTGACTGTTAGATAAGTTCATTTTTGCTGTGAGTTTTTGAAGTTTTGAGTATGTTCTAATGTTATTTTGGTGTATTTTTCATTGCTTGATGATTGTTGTTGAAATTGAACTATTAGGGAACTAGAATAAATCTAATTAATTTATTAATTGTTTCATTCAAGATTTGATTATTTCTTCCCCTTAAAGTGTTAGGACAGTTTCCATTTTTGTTTGATAGTTCCTTTTGTTTCTACAGTTAGAGTTGATTTGGCAATGATTGTTATTAATCGGTTGCATTGTTTCTTATTTCTCATGTAACAGGAAAATCTATTGCCCTAGTTTTAGTATTCATTTTCCTAATGATTCAATTTGACCATTTAAAAATAAATTTCTGTAGCCTAATTTAGATATTTTGTTTGCCATAGCTTTGAGCTGTTGAAAGGGCGATGCTGGCTGGGATCATTTCATTGCTATCTTGATTCTTCCCATGGCATTTACTGCAAGCAAGGTTCCAAGTGGCTCTGCTGTGACTGAGACGGTAGGCAACACTAGGCCACAGGGTAAAATCTATCCCATAAGTCAAGGGTTTGAGCGTCGGAGGCTGAGAAATGCACATCTTTTGATGGCGAAATTGAGCTTTCCAAATGAACCTCTGGGAAGAATATATGGAAAAACAGGTGGTTTCACAGTCACACGGGGATCTTTGGTGATGTGCTTTTCAACAAGAACTCAAAATTCTGAAGCAACGGAATCTGTTAAACATTGTGCAGAGTGCTCTGATGAATCTGGGTAATATTATTGTCTGTTTTAATATCTAATTTTTGGTATTTGAGGCCTCAGGATTTGAACCCTGATATGAATTATAATCTGTGGCTGCTGGAACTACTTAATTCAAATATTTGGGCCTTTCAAAATTCTCTGCTATATTTTTTATTTCATTTACAGAAAAGATTATCCCCTTTCCCATTCATCATCATATACTTTTGTTTTACAGTGGTTTGCCTTGACAGGTATAAATTATGCTCTAATTGTGATTAGCTAAGTGATATTTCATTTTCATATTTCTTGATCTGGGCTAATCCTGAAACTAAGTGATTACTGTTCTGTCATTTTTCGTGTTATGAATTATTGTGGCAATAATGTGTTTGTTTGGAAATCTTCATTTTTCTTTGCAACTATTCTTTTCCCTAGCCTACATCATTTCTACACCTACCAGATCAAGGCCCGTACCATTCCTTTTTCTTTATCCTCTAGTTCTGTTTCATCAGACACTCTGTTGAGTTTTTTTTTTTTTTTTTTTTGAGTAATTTGCCTTGTGAGGTATAAATTAGGTACTAGATGTAATTTAGCTAAGTAATATTTCATTTTCATACTTCTTGATATGGGCCAATCCTGAAGCTTATTGTATGCATACTGTTGTGAGTCAGTGCACAGATTGCACAAGAGGAAGTTGGTCATTCAGTTTTGCCTGGGAGAACAATACATTCAAGTCGAGGCTTAGCTGAAGCTTGTAGATTTGCGTGCAATGATGCAAAGTTTGTAAATGAAAGGGCCCGTAATGACCTTGTTTTGCTTTCTCGGTAATATTCAGCAATGCCCTATATCAGTCAAAAAGCTTACCATGATAATCAGCAATCAGCATAATTCTTATGTTCAGTATTACATTTATGTTGACATGCTTTATATTCTAACATAAATTCACTAAATTTTTTTATAACTCCAGTGCTAATGCAAACTCTGCAAAAAAATAAATAAATAAATAATGTCCAAAACTAACTTTCAGTCCGTGAAAACTGTAAAGGATCTATTTAGCTGGTTTAAATTATTGGTTATTCACAGCTTGTTGAGGATCATTTTATGTTTCACATGCCCTTATTAATTATTTTGGCTAGACGTGTGATTATTGTTTTGCTATTTTCCTGTTTTCTTTAGTGGCATAATGAGGTTAGATGCCCGTGCACGTCAGGATGTCGCTATTCTTGGGTCAGGGTTTCTTAAACTTGACGGTAATGCAGTAGTTTCATAAAATTATTTGAAAGCTTCTCACATCTTTTACTATGGGAAACAAAGATGCAATCAAGCAGTGTGTAAAATGAATTTAGATTGTAACATTTTAACTGAAACAGACTTGTTTCATTTTTATGTTGTGCCCAAAGATATTATGATCTTTCACACATTGTTTTTCAATGTGATGTTTCATTTTTAATTTATGCTATGCAGCTAGGGCAAGAGAAGATACAGAAAAAATTGACCGAGATGTGAAGAAAAAGGCTGAATGTCTTCATCATATTGCCACTGTATGTGTATTTAGATAGTAGTTTCTTTTTTCTTAGAAGTAAGACATGTAGTGCTGGTATCATGGATCTAATGTCATAAACAACCTTGTATCCATTTGCAGATTTTAAAAGACAAGGCAGAATCTAGATTGAAAACTGCTGCTGACAAACATTGGAGTGATGGTGCATTGGAGGTAGGGAAGGCAAAAAGACCCGAACCCGTCGGGTTTTGACCCGACCCGACCCCTTAGGGTCGGTTTTTTTTTTTTTTTTTGAAAATCGGGTATCGGGTCGGGTAGGAGAAAAAAATTTCGGGTTCGGGTCGGGGTCGGGTTTTAGGCATACCCGACCCAATATATATAAAAAAATTATTTTTTTTATTTTATATTTAATTATATATATTTTATATTTATATTTAAAATAATATTTTATTAATTTCGGGTCGGGTTGGGTCGGATTTAATTTTATATACTGTCGGGTCGGGTTCGGGTATTAAAATAAAAAAAATTTATCGGGTCAGGTACGGGTTCGGGTATTACATATTTAAAATCGGGTCGGGTTCGGGGCGAGCAAAAACCCGCCCCGACCCGACCCGTTGCCATCACTAATTGGAGGTGCTTTTTGTCATGCATCTTTCTACTTTCTTTAATATCTTTCCTTACTGGTTAGCTTGTTAGTTGGTTTGTATTTGTTATTAACTTAATGCGATTTCCATTTACATACCGAAAGGTTGCATCAAGTTAATAAATCTTCTAGAGAAGGAAGGAAAAGCGTATTAATTGCAACTAAGTGTAGCTGATTCAATCTACTTGTATCAGTTGTTGAATTTGATAAATAGTTTTTGTTGACATCTTTTTGAAAAAATTTTGCTAATGTTAACAGAATCACATAATTAGAATATCTGGGGGTGTTGAATTTTAAAGCAATAGTCAAGACAGCTACCTACTCCTTTAGAAGCATTCACTTCATCTAGAGAAAGAAAAAATTTTGTCAATACTGTGTGTAAGCTGCCTTAAAGTTAAGCTCGTGACAGAAAGATGTAAAGGAGATTATTCACTGGGCCACATATAGGAAATCTGTTGGGTATAAGACATTATTTGGATGAAATAACCTGAATAGAAACAATTAATTAGGGTGCAAGATATAAAAAAATGTAATGTTGAAAAAGAACTAATTTCTGGTTATATCTCAGGAAGGCAACATCAAACAATTTGCAAAAGTGTTTTGAATGTGTCTGAGAATATAGTCTACTTGTTGTGAATAATAAAATATTCAAGGTAGTAAATCCTGATGCAGCTTTTTGGCTCTCTTCCAGGCTGATCTGCGCCGTGCTGACTTCCGTGCTAAGCAGCGTGCAATGGAGGATGCCTTGATGGCTTTGGAGGTTAGAGGAACAGTTATTTATTTTGAATATTATGCTGATTATTTTGTTGGATTTTCATATAGGATTATATCTGTATCATAGTGTCTAGATGCAATTTATGGTGTTGAATGATGCATTCGGCTCTTTTCTTAAAAAATCCCATATTTGCCACAAAGAAGGTAATAATAACGTCTATATTTCTATGCCTCCATGGCATTTATGTTTTTTTCATTTTGTTGGTTGTGCAGTTTATGAAAAATATTCATGACATGATGGTTAGCAAGGTGTACAAATTGTAAGTTCCTTTCATATTGACAAGTTTCCTCCAGTTTTTTTGTTTACTTTTTTCTTTTTCCCTCTAAATGTTGTAGGATTATCAAGTGTTGAAGCCTTAAAATTTTAACCTTTTGTTTGCATGTGCATTTGTGTGTCTTATCCAGCCCACTGCAATGGGGAAAAGGCTCACTTTCAGCTAGTGACTTAATGCTTGAGAAAAATGGGAAGACTATTGATTTTTTTAATGGTGAAGTGTCTACCGATCGCATTAATGCCATTCAGGTCCTTTATAATTGCTCTTTTACTACTGTTTCCTTTATCAGTTGCATCAGGAAGCATAACATCTAGACCATTTATGTTGACATACAGGAAGCTTACTGGAGCATAGCATCTGCACTTTCTGAAGCTGATGGAATTGACTACACAGATCCTGAAGAGGTCCAAATTGAGTATTTGTATCCCTCATCTGATGAACATATGATTTAAGCAAGTTTTATTGTTTCTTAATTTACTTTTTCTTTCCTTTCCGGAGCAGCTCGAGTTGTTAATAACAACTCTTATAGATCTTGATGCAATGGATGGTAAGACCAGTGTATCATTGCTGGCAGAGTGTTCGAGTTCTCCAGATGTCAGTACGAGGTAAGATGTTTAAGAATAGTAAGTATATTTTTCATTTAGAATTGCAGCTCGCTATCGTTAATCATCACCATCGAATGCATAATGTGTTGATGTATGTTTAAGTATATTTAGGAATGGCTAGCCATTTGTCTTCCTAAAAGAATGAATTTGAAGTGAAATTCGATTTTCTCATATATAATCCACCCTTTCATGCGTTCACAAATGTTACATTAAAACATTTTCCAAATTATTCACTGTACGGTTTTCATTTTGTTGGATAATGACCTCCAATCGTTGAATTGCACGTATTCATGTAGAAATTGTCACCTTTCAAGTTGTGTTCTTGCCGATTTTTTATTCTGACTATTTCCCGATTGACCATGTCTTTACATTGTATATATAGATTTAGAAAATACATTAAATTTAACTTCTTCCTGTGGTTTATTTATACCCTATTCAGTAACCTAATCTGTCCTCTAAAGAGCGATGTCCAATCCTAGTCCCCCAAAACCATAAAGAAAAGGAAGAAACTCTTAGCCTTCCTGATTGGTGTCTATTTTGACACATGATCCCAGATTGTTGAGCAATTGATGTATCCTCTTTATTCATGTGGTGCAGACAAGCATTGGCTAATGCACTAGCAGCAGCTCCATCCATGTGGACTCTCGGAAATGCAGGAATGGGAGCATTACAGGTGCTTTGCTTATTTTTAACCCTCGTACAAATTAATGATATGTAACTTGTTTTTCTTTCCTTAATGGTGGCAACTTAAATGTTCCTGATTCATCCTTGTAGAGACTGGCAGAAGATAGCAACCAAGCTGTTGCTGCCGCAGCATCTAAAGCAATCTACCAACTAAAGAAACAATGGGAAATAGAGGAAGGGGATAGCTGGAGGTTCATGATGAATCTGAAGCCGGTGGAGGAAACAGATGGAGATGGTGACAAAGATGATGCAGATAAAAACTAAGCAATTAAAAAAAAATTATACTGTAGATATCTACACAGGTTTAACTAGCTGTAGGATAAATCCACTCCATCAAAGGAAATAATGAATTCATGTATGCTGATGTACTGAAAAGGCTCGTATACATTTCGATTTCAGTACATTTAGATTTCAGTACTTCCTGAAAACATCTTTTCACTTGCTTGTTTCATAAGGTAGACAAGCATGCATATTATAAGCTGCTTGAATCCAAAATCTTTACCCAAAAACTCTCATTCTCTCAGCTGCATAATCTGATACTAAGCTGGCTCAAGGAAATCACATAATTTAGTTTTGATTTTGTCTGTCAAGGTGTGGCGCTTATGTAAGATTAAGTTTCTTGTGTAAGATCAACCTCTTCTTTTCTTAATAAAATCTTAATTCATGTGCTTTGTTTGCTTTAACGTATCCTTTTCTTCTTTGATATATGCTCTTTATGGGGCAATTCTTCTGTTTTAAAAGAAAATTGCTAGCCAAATCAGCAAAACAAGTACGTCAGGGAAGCCATGGATGATAAAGTAACAGATCCTAAGGGATGTCCGCAATGTTCCAAATTGTTAAGCAAATTTCAAATTAACTCAGGGTTGGACTCTTAATTCTTTGTCCTGGTAGAGTGCTGGTAGATCTAACATTCCTATAAAAAGGACCCAATTAGTGTTGGCTCCATATTACATTTTTTACATCTGACCATCAATTTTGGCCCACAAACAATTAAGTTCAGATTATCATGGCCAGACTCCATACCTAAGAATGAAGCAAACTGATCACTGTTCCCCTCAATTGAGTAATTTTTCTTTGACAATCAATCTGCTTTCGGAATTGAATCTGGTCACATTTCACTTTTTCCTAATCTATCTGTCTCTTAATCAAGGTGTTGGTTTGGTAAACTTTTCCAGAAATGCATCAATTAGCAAATGCTTAATGATTCTCGAAGTACAGGAATGAATTTTTGAAAGAAAACAAAATAAACAAAAGGTGAAGGCCAGAAAGGAAAAGCAAGAGATGGACCATGAATCCAACTACATTTACTACCAGCTTTGTTTTATAATAATAATAATAATAAAAGGAAAAAAAAAAAAAAAAGCTCTTACGTCACCATCAAAGTACCCCTAATTTGTTCCACTTCCTTCTCTTTTTCCACTAAACTTTTTTTTTTCTTAGCCTTTCCATAATGTCTGCCATTGTTTGACACCTATGTTCCATCATTATTCCCTTCCCTTTCCCTTTAACTTTAATTATAAAACAAAATAGAATCCCATGTTTTCTTTATAACTGATCACAATGCTAACAGCTTTACAGCAATATTCAAAAAGCAATGCCAAACATTTCCCATTTCTTCTACTCTATTTTAAGGGTAATTCTTTCACATTACAATTTTTGTATCTTTTAGATTGTAGACTATGATTGGTATTTGAATTTAAAATTTTCAATTTGAAATTGATTTCAATATTATTGAGCTATCTGCTTATTAGTAAATGAATCTTACCTCCAGACATGTTAGCTACCTAAAATTTTATTGACCTAAGCTTAATATAACAGAAATCAATGGACCCAATAATCCTTGAATATGGGTGCATCAGAGTTTTAGAATTAAAAGAAAAAGAAAATGTCTTTCTAATCCTTGAGAGCGTCTGTCTTGCTAATAGAAACAGTACATTGCATGTGGGCCAACAATAAACTATACAAAAATGGCCCACTACCTTAATCACATGGGAGGTGGGCCATCCTTTGCGCGTGATGTAGCCCCAATGAATGCAGGTGGCCCTAATGCATGATCCAGATCAATACAGCGGATTTAGGAAGTGCTGGTCCCACCAAAAAGACATGTCAGCACCTTTACATGACACTTGGTATTATTACACAAACAAGTTCAATATAAAAATTTTTTTTAAGTTCTTTACTGTTGAATCTTCAGCCGTATATCCATAAGTTCCTTCAAACTTGTCATCTTCAAGTTCTGGTTTAATATCATACCAGCTGATCTAAATCAGTTGGCATATAAAACGTTAAATATATTCTGTAAAAGAAAAGTAAAACTAATTCTCTAAGAACCAATCTCTGTTTCCCTTGCCACAAACATATTTTCTGCTCTTTTTCTCAAGAAAAAGACTCAAACCCTTACCCAACATTTCGTTTTTCCATCTGATTTTCTGCCTCTGTAAATAGCAAGAAGACAATAGCAAACATCCATGGCTGCAGGCAACAAGTTTGCAACATTTTTGCATAAAAACACCAGCAAAATCACTGTTATTCTAGTCTATGCAGTTCTGGAATGGATCCTTATCATTCTCCTTCTGCTCAACTCTTTGTTCACTTACCTGATTACAAAGTTTGCCAACTATTTTGGCCTTAAACCACCTTGTCCCTGGTGTTCTAGAGTTGATCATGCCTTGGAGCATGGCAAAAACTCGAACTCTTATAGGGATCTTGTTTGTGATAAGCATGCTACTGAGATTTCCAAATTGAGTTACTGCTCAAGTCATCGAAAGCTAGCAGAATCACATCTCATGTGTGAGGAATGCTTGGCTTCTAGACCAACTCCTAGTGATAATAAATCCATTGGAATGACAAGGAGAATTGCTTTCATTTCATGGGTGACTGCTGATCACAAGCTTGACAATGGTGAAAAGGTTAGCCCTTGTTGTTCTTGCTGCAAGGGGAGCTTTGGCAGCAAACTTCATCCTCCGTATTTCTTGTTCAAGCCTACTTGGGGTACTTTGGATTATGCACACAAAGGAAGTTTGATCATAGAAGCAGTAGAAGATGATGCGAGTGAAAGTGATCGGTGCAAAGAACCAAGCACACCTGACAGCCAAGCAAATGACGAAGGTGAGGATATGATTGAGATCAAACTGAACAATGAGGAAGATCACAACGAAAGTGATGAAGAGGCTATAGCTGAACCTCAGATTCTTTCTGATGTTGAAAGTTTTCGATTTGGTGAAGCAGCTGGAGAGGAGTGCTCAAGGTCTGTGTCAAACTCGCAAGATACATACCACGAAAAAGATGTACATGAAGATGATAAATCAAGCAGCATGAACATCACAGAGAAGCATTTTAGTGTTACAAGTGATATCGTTAAGCCTTGTTTTGCAGAAGATCATCAGCTAGCGTTCATCAACCTGCACCCTCAGAAATGTGTTTCTGATCGTTTATTTCCTGTTGAATTAATTGATTTATCAACATCTGCAAGCCACTGCTCAGAAAAGCAAGATCTGGGGAAGCAAGATAATGAAAATGAAACTAGTGATTCTCCTATTGAAGAGACACCATTACATGCTATAGATGCGAGCGCAGAGAATACTAGTCCGAAAGAAGTTGAAAGCCTGGAGCTAGGTGCTGGTAACATTAAGAATATATCCATCCTACATGCTGACAAAGGAAGAAAAGATTTGGTCGATGAGGCACGTGAACATGAAATTACCACGCATGGAGCTATGGATGGCAATTACACAGAAGCTTCAGCTACAAAAGAGCCCAATGATCCTCCAGGTATGCAAAACCGAACACAATGAAAATTCTATAAAGTTTATTTCTTTAACCATTGTATATTATTGCTTACCATATCCATTTTAAATGTGTTCATTTCGAGCAGCTCATCAACAAGACAAGAATGATCTTAGTCTGTTGGTTGAGCAACCACAACCCGAGACATTTTTAAGCACTCAAGACTCAGATCTGCCTCAAGTTCAAGAGTCAGTTCCTTTATTGCAATGCTTACAAGAAGATGGTTTTTCCACATTTAAGAATAAAGCTAAAGAGGTTGACGCTTCTGAATCATACAATGCTGAGAATGTCGGTAAGCCGACACTTGTCTTGATTACAGTGTCCAGCATTTCATCTTGTGGATGGTACATAACATATAACAACATAGCTTCTTAATCCATTTTTGGTTTTACTAGGTGCAAATCAAAGGGAGAAGAGCACAATGGAGAATAAAATGATTTCAAATGATGAGAATCAAGACGGAATAAACACTTCTTTATCTGTACATCTGGATCGTAATGAAGCAGAGGAGGAAAAGTTTCCTGACACTCCAACTTCACTTGAAGGTATGCATTACTTGCATAAGAAACTGCTACTCTTTGAGAAAAGAGAATTGGGCACGGAGGAGTCTTTAGATGGGAGTGTAGTAAGTGAGATGGAAAGTGGTGATCCAATTCTAACCATTGAAAGGCTGAAAACATCCCTAAAAGCTGAAAGAAAGGCATTGAGTGCTTTATATGCAGAACTTGAGGAAGAGAGGAGTGCTTCTGCAATTGCTGCTAATCAGACAATGGCTATGATTACCAGGCTTCAAGAGGAGAAGGCTGCAATGCAGATGGAAGCATTGCAATACCAAAGGATGATGGAAGAACAATCTGAATATGATCAGGAGGCCCTACAACTTTTGAACGAGCTCATGATCAAAAGAGAGAAGGAGAAGGAAGAACTTGAGAAAGAATTGGAAGTTTATCGCAAGAAGGTTTTTGATTATGAGGCAAAAGAAAAGATGAGAAAAATGAGGAGAAGCAAAGATGGAAGTGTGCAAAGTAGGAAATCTTCTGCTGCTGGCAGCTATGTGGAGGACAGTGATGAGCTATCTATAGACCTAAATCGTGAACCGAAGGATGAAGATAGCAGCTTTTCTGGCCACCTGGAGAGCAGTGATAATACTCCTGCTGATGCAGTTCTTAATTTGGATGAAATGGCACTAGATTGTGTAAACCATATAAGTGCCCTTGATGAATCATTGACAGAATTTGAGGACGAAAGACTGTCCATCCTAGATCAGCTTAAGGCATTGGAAGAAAAGTTACTAACTATGGGGGATGATCAATTCATGGAGGATTTGAAATCAATTCAGAATTCCTTCAATGGTTTTGATGAGAATAATGATCTGAGCAGTAAAGAAGATGGATTTTCAAAAGATAGAAGTTATCCAGAGGACAAAACCATGGCTTCCATGGCAAAGAGTCTCCTCCCTTTCCTGGATGCAGCAGATAATGAAACAGAAGAAGGATTGATATACAAAAAACAAGGAGAATGTGAACCAGATGAAATGCAGAAATATCCATGTCCAAATTTTGACTTGGATAGTAAGAAACTTGCAATTGAAGAAGAGGTGGATCATGTTTATGAGAGGCTACAAGCTCTTGAAGAAGACAGGGAATTTCTAAAGAACTGCATGGGCTCCATAAAGAAAGGAGACAAAGGAATGGACCTTCTCCAAGAAATCTTGCAACATCTCCGAGATCTAAGGGCGGTGGAACTCCGAACAAGGAACATGAGTGCTGATCCACAAGGATGATTTTAGGCTTGCCATATATAAAAGGAATCACCTGGTAATTCTATATTTCATCTCATATATTTTGAATTGTCTACATTAAAATTACACATCACGACTTTCCTGTCAAATTAATTGCTCAAAACATTGATAAGATTAATTTGTTTGATAAGTGCAGGATGTATTTCCAAGCTTCAGCAGGACTACTCTCTAGATTAAAGTGGTCTGAAACTTCATTTCACATTGAACATTTTGGACCGGAAGCTCCTGGAATCCAATTTTTTCCCTGAAAAGATGGGAATATCTCCAGATGGATGGGGAGATTCCCAATCTGGTTTTCTTGAATTGCTGAGTGGTAGGCAGACTTAAAAACTAAAGTCTGCACCCCCCCCCCCCTCCCAAGTTTTCTTTTGGGTTTTCAAAAATGAAGCAAAGCCCCAAATTTTGCAGGATCTCCTCCTTTGCTGCCTTATTACAAGAAAAGTCGAAAAGAAAGGAGAGCATACTGTCTACCTGGTTTGATCATGTAGGTAAGATAGTTGAGAACCTAGTAATTTGTTTTTCTTTTTCTTTTTTTCCCCAACACTAGTTTTCCTTTACTCTTTTCTCCATAAGGTTTGGAGGAAGGATTCGAAAGGAGAGGAATGGAGGCTTTAGCCTTTTCTCTCCTCTGTTTGCATCAGGTAATGTTACAGATGTTATGAACTTTATGGAATTCAAACTTGATCCATATGCTGTTAATTTCTATAGTTCTATGAGGAGCTGTCATTGATGTTTTTCTGTCCTCAGTTAAATTTAAAAAAAAAAGGTCATGTCTATGTCCTCTCAGTTTAAATAGCAGGAATTACATATGAATTACTTGTAAATTGAACAGAGATTATCAACAAGCTGTATCAGACTCTAACTACAGAACACTGGATAAAACTCAAGCCGGAAGAGGAAAGCATACCAAAATATAGGAAAAGAATTGTGCAAAAGATATAAATTTTTTTTTTGTTGCATTCTTTTAGAAACATTGTAAAAGAATAAATTTGATTCCTAAATCCCATCTGTTTTCTGAGCTCATGTAATCCTGCAACAAGGAGTGAACTAGGTGTCATCTAATCAGCAGACAGAAAATCCCAATCTGATTCATACTTTCCTTGAGTCAAAATCAGTGATAGATTAAGATATTTTCTAACGTGCCTACTTAAGTTCATATATATATATATATATATATATATATATATATATGTAATTGCCATTTTATTTTTGAACTTTTGAGGTGTTCATAAACACCATCTTTATACATATGAATCCGCCACTGAGCAAAATGTTCTTAACCAATAAACCCTGTTCATATTTTTAATGCAACAAGCCAGAAACAGAACTAAAATACGATAAAAAGTTAGAAGGATGGAGTGATCTAAAAGAGAAAGAAAAAAAAAACTGGTGAAGATTATCTTGGCAATTGCTTGCACTTTTCAGGACAGTACTGTTTCTTCGTCTTCACTCCTCATCAACCATAACCTTTTTCTTTTTCAATCTATAGGAAGAAGAGGCTTTCAAAGCCTGAAAACAGTCAACAAAACCTCAAAAGAATCGAAGGCTCTTTTTCTATTAATAAGTTTCCTGTACAAGATTGTTTCTCAGATATTCCTCCGACAAACTGTAGCAAAATTTAGAAAGTATCCAAGGAAAGAGTGTAATATTATAAAACACATCTTAAGCAGCCTATGTTGCTGCGACTTTTCATTTTCTTTGAAGTATCCATGTTGAACACATATATCTATTATAGATATAGAGGTTTGATTATCTAAATCTATGAAAAAAACTAGAAAATAATTGAACATACACATGCAATACATACCCTTCTCAGAATCAGATCTTTCCAATCCAAGAGCTAGACGAATCCATTCAGTTAGCTGCATGTTTTAAGCCTGATTTGTGTCTTCTCCACATTCAATCTCCTAGCTGTGTTAATACTACTGACTATTAACCATGGATATAGCAGCAGATTTTCTTGTCTTAAATGAAGTAAAAGACCATACACTTTATTGGCAAGAACGCGCAGCCTTTTGAATTTATATCTAATCCACAACAGTTCTATGTGATATGCATTACCTCCATCAAATGCTCCTGCTTAAATTGCAGGGGGCATGTCATATTGTGCTATGTTCATGAAATTTTAGTCTATGCATCCAATGTCAGCCTATTCCCTTCCTTAATTTCCAATCTTTCTCTATTTAATTGAGCTGAAGAAGATATTACTCATCTCGAATTCATAACCTTCAAGAATTAGACACTGTAATATTAGTATAGATAAGTAACTACTAGTTTTAAGAATAAAAAATACATATTAGTATTTAATAAGTATGTACAAACATTATTGGTTGATTTTATTATCAATTGCTCATTGCTTATTAGCTATCTCTGAATGAATAAGCATTTTTTTGCTTTCTATGATTAGCTTTTCATATTTCTTTCAACACTCAAGTATGATAGATTTTTTCATAAGTGGGTATATTTTGGATTCTTGTTTTGTATCTTGATTGCTCTTAATTAGCTAAGCATGTAAGGCATTTTTTTTATTTATATTTAAGTGATTTTTTTATATTCAAATGGGTTTATATGGATACTTTGGATTATGTCTTTGCTTATCTGAATTAGTTTAATAAACTTTGGCTTAAAAAAAAAAAGTATGTACAAACATTAGATTCTTATAAAAGCTTTCCAAATTATCAATTTGATTTTACTAACTTGGTTTTCGATAAATGGTAACTTGCTTTGTCTACCCCTCATTTAGTCACTTACAATTCAAAATTCAAAAGCAAAATGCTCCTAATAAATATATATATATATAATTCCATTTATATTACATTTTATGCAATCATCAGTACTTTTTACCCAAAAAACTTAATCTTTTGATCAATGAAAGAATTTTTTACTTGTCAGTTGTGAATTCGATATTTAAAGAGTACCTTAGAAAATAAAAATTTGAATATATTAGACCAATATAAAAAATACAGCAAAAAGTTTTTTCGATTAAAAAATTAAGTTAAAAAAAAAACTTAAAAATATTATCACGATGTATAAAAAAAAAAAAAGCAACACTTTTTCTTTACACTAAAGTAAAGGAAAAATCAGCAAAAGAATCCAAAAAAAAAAAAGAAAAAAAAAAAGAAAGTAACAATCCTCCAACAACATTTTAAATTAAATATTTGATGTTAAACTAATAAGCTTAAAATGCAAGAAAACTACTAGTAATTAAAGGAAAAAAGACCTGACATTAACATTCAAGTAATGGCATATTTTAAATATTTTTAATTCATGGATTCCTTTGAATGTGGGACCAGAATTTTATTTATTTATTTATATTTTATATTAAAATATTAGACAACTTGGAAAATGGGGTCACCAGTTTAAAGACGATGGATAATCCAGTAATTTTCAAAAACACCCCACTCTCGAAAATTTCATACGCCACGTCATCCATCTGAGTGAACTCCTTTTCTAAACCGTCTGATCATCATCCATAAAACAAATCCTATCCGTTCATTTCTTTCCAAAAATAAAAAACTAAAAAAAGTAAATTGGACCTTTTTCTTTTTTTGGCAACTGATCATCAAAACAGTAGCTAAAGCTGTTTTGGCTGGGGTTTGTTGGTTTCTTTGTGAAAAAATTTGAAAACCAAAGAAAAGAGAGAGGTTTTTGTGGGTACTGCCCTTTGAAGTTAGAAGCTTTGTTGAAGGAATTATCTCTTTTTTTTCCCTATTTTTTTCTTCTATATTTGAATTTTTTTTTGTGTGAGTGCAAAAGCAGCAAAATTAATGGCTACTGACGAGGTCAATAAGCCTTCTTCACTTCCTTCTTACCCACAGGTTTATCTACTATCCCTCACCTTTTTTTTTTTTTAAACATTTTAACCATGATAAAAATTTTATCTTTAATTTTGTTTTATAGTTTACAATTTTTCTTTTTATTTTGAGGAAAGTTTCACTTTTTTAAGGAGTTTCAAAGAAACCCATTTTCATTCAACCTCAAATTTGTTAGATTTTGATCTAATTTGATTTTTATTTGTTCATTTTTTACTGATTTAAGATTACAGTAAAAAATTATTTGTTGTTTAGAACCGTCATTTTTTAAAATTATTTTCCCTTTTTTTTTCATCTTCAATTGAGTTTCTTTGCATAAATTTCTTCATTTGTCACTTTTTTTCCCTGATTTATTGTGTAAATTTTTTAAAAGATTGGGCTTTTTTTTTTTTTTCAGAATTGCCAGAACACTTATATTTCCATTGAATTTCCCTTAAGTTTCTCATTTGTATCCTTTTTCTCGATGCAGTTTTCGTATTCATCAACAATGTTTTTGTGAATCACATGAAGATTTTTTTTCATTTGTAAATTTGCTTTACTTTTTCTTGATTCTCCTAATTTTTCTACTTCTAAGCATGAATTTTGAACTTTCTAGCTTAAAATTGCTTGAAATCTAAATAATTCATCCATATTTTTATCATGCAGCTGATTATTGATGCCATTGAAGCATTGAACGACAAGAATGGTTCGAACAAGACTTCAATATCCAAATACATTGAGTCCAAGTATGGAGATTTGCCAGCTGCCCATACCAACCTCCTTTCTCACCATCTTAATAGAATGAAAGAAACTGGAGAGCTTATTTTTTTGAAAAACAATTACACGAAAGCTGGCTCAAATGCCCCACCAAGACGTGGCCGTGGTAGGCCACCAAAACCCAAGGTTCCATTGCCACCAGGCGCGATTTTAAGCCCTGCAAGACCTAGAGGCCGCCCTCCTAAGGATCCCAATGCTCCCCCTAGGTCCCTAAAACCTAAGGTGGCATCTGGGACTGGGAAGCCACGTGGAAGGCCGAGGAAGATGGCGCGGCCTGAGGGGGGAATAGGTGGGAGTTCCACAACTGTGATGGCGGCCGCGGTAAGGCCTAGGGGACGCCCTCCTAAGGTGAAGGCTTTGGCATTGACTGAAGTTAGTGTTGAACATTAAGTATTTTAATGGTTTTAACTTGTAGTGGTGCTTACTGTTTACTTTGTGTTTTTGTTGGTTTTGTATGTAGGATTTGCACGGTGCTTGTTAGTTTGATAATTGTGTGTGTTTCAAGTGCTCTTGTAGAATTTAGTGTAGTCGTTCTTGAGGCTTTGAAAAGTTTTCTTTTGTTTAAAGTTATTGTACAGGATAACTAGTGCTAATGATGATCACTGTTATTATCTTTGTTGTGTTTTATAAGCGTATCGAGCCTGTTTGTTTGTGCTTGAGTTTGAAATTTGACTGTAATGCTTACTATGCCATGTGATTGCTGGCCTAATATTTGGTATACTATTTGTTGATGTAATTCTTGATTTGGTGGTTGAGAGGCTTGTTGGAGGTTGAGAAGGAGAGTATGTGTGTCACGGAGAACCATCTTTGGTGCCTTTGACTTTCTTTTTTGTGACAGGTCACATATATTTTCTTTCTCAACCTTTAGCGGGCCTTTCAATCACCAGACCAGGAATTACATCAACACTATTCAACTAAGCTGTTTTATTTTGGAATTAACTATGGCTGTTTTGAAGTTAAGGATATGGTCTGAAATTACTATTAGACAAGCTATAAGAGTCAAATGTTGAAATTTGAGTTTGACAATATTCGAAGTTTTAGACTTTTAAGTCATGTTTGATGCATAAGATAATGGATAACATAAGATGATAATCATCCTAAATCATGTTTGGTTTATATTTAAAGAGATGAATAGGATTACAAAGAAGACTAATCATTCTTTTGGCATAGGGTGATTCAATCTTACCAAAATGGAGAGGATTAGTTTTAATCCATAGGATTGAACTTATATGTTCTATTATATCTTTACAAATTACATCAATAATTTAAATTGTATAACTTCAGAAAGGATAATTTTGACCTATAAATAAAGTTATCCTATCTTAATCTTTTCATACATTAGACATAAGATAGGATAATAGTACTTAATTTAATCCTATTCATAATATTATTTTATCATATCTAATTATAATCTTATATACCAAATACACTCCAAATTTACACGGAAATAGTAATCCATTGTTTGAAATTTTGTTATTACTTGTGTTAATTGGGTGGTCTTCTTGCTAGACGTTTTTGTGATGCTATTTGAACAGTGCTAATTCAAGTTGTTCAACATGGAAAATGGGGTGTGTTGAGTAAAATTGTTTGATGTGAGATATGACAAGAGTTGCTGAGTTTGAAGACTGGAAAAGGATCGGACAAGTTTGAAATAATTGTTGTTTGATAACTATGGTAATGCTGGTGGTGGCCACATAACTCCTGATCTCCAATGCCTTTAAAAGCCTCGTACATGTTCCTGCCTGGACATACGCCGGAAAAATGCGATAGCTGGTCCTGATTTCTGATCCTGTTGTGTGTCTTGGTCTTTGTCAAATCCTGTTCTTTCTTTCTTTCTTTCACGTGGGTCACTTCACATGCATAGACTTGGTCACTGGAATAGACCTGATGGGGGAGGGAGTGGTCTCTTTGAATATAAGAAAATTGAATTCAATATATGGTTTTGAAACTTTGGTCTTTGGTTGTGAATTTAAATGGTAAAACTATTAGTGTTATTAGCTCTTTCATAGAAAATATTTTCCCTATTCTAAAATCTTATTCTTAATTTTCGCCAATGTTCTGAAATTAGGCAGTTTGAAATTTATATATACATCAAGTTCTACCTTTTTTTACTGGATGTTTTGCTCATCAAAGGCGTTGATTATTTCAATGGGATATGCTGAAGTGTCTTTAACAGTATTCTACTATTTATTATTTACATGTTTTTTATAAAAATTTAATAATTTTAAATATAATACAGTAATACAATATAAAAAAATAAAATGATATAATTTAAAGTTTTAATAAAAATTATATTTATGTTTGATAAAAATTAAAAATTTTATATTTAATGTGTCAATATAATATAATAATTTTTATATTTTAATATATGCTAATCACAAAACAAATATATATATATATATATATGTATGATCAGCACTATAAATAAAGCAGAAATATTACAACAGAGTTATACAGTCATTAAGCAACTTGTACTTGAAAAACTTTGGCAAGTTGAAGATTCGTTTTAATGATAACTAAGAATGGAATGGAATGGAAGTACGAGGTTGTCGAAGATTTCAAAGGTCGGATACTTTGGATTTATTTAGGTTTGAAATTCCTTTCACCATAATTCACCATTCCAAAAATCTGGATAAGATGGTAGTGTATGCTGATAATTTATATATTTGTATTATATAAAATATTAATAATTTATATATTTATATTATATTTTATATGTAAATTATATATATTATAATTTATATTGATAAAAAAATAATATATTTTTTATTTTATTAAATTTATATAATATTTTTATTAAAATTTTAAATTATATTATTTTCATAATGTTATCGAATCATATTATTCAATATTTTAGATTGATAAATTTACTTTCAGCTTTAACCTTCTTTTTACTTCCATTTTCTGTTTTTGGGGTGTATAAATGTTTTTAATATCTTAGTATTTGTTGAATCAAAATTTAGCTTAGTATCATAATGTGGAGAGAATATTCAGTAAATTTCATATTTAAATTTTTTATTTGAAATATTTTTTATTTTAAATTACGGATTTTTTTATATTAAAAATCTTAATATTTGCTTATTTAGAAAAATTTATTATCCCACAGTAAAATCCCTAACCAAACAGTGTTTCATAATTTAAAATTTTCAACGTGTTAAGGAAAAACATAAAACGGTGATACATAAAGTATTTGGTTTAATGAAAATATATAGTATGTACTTTTTATAATTTAATTTATTATCGTGTCAAAAGGTGGGGTGGATTGGGTTGCCCGTGGCATGACCCAATTCCTACGTAAGCAAGAGCCATATATTTGTTCTTTGTTAGGCTAGCGATTGGAGGCCCATCAAGTCTAAGACTCGATTTTCGCACCATCATCCAATTGACTGGACGGATTAACACGCAAATGTCTGTGCTCATTAATTGCTTTGTTGAATTGTTCATATTTCATATTATTATTATTATTATTATTATCAGTGATAAGATTGAAGAAAAAATTGATTTGATATTTTAATATTTAATTAGGTTTAGATTTTTTTTATTTGATTTTATTTTAATTAAAATTTTAAATATTTTAATTTAATTTAAATCGATTTTTAAATCTTAAAGTAAGTCTTAAAAATATTTAAATTAAATTATATTTTTATTAATTTTTATAAAATTTAAATTTTTATAAATATTTTATATTTAAATTTATTTAAATATATTAAAAAAATTACAAAAAATTCAAAAAAATCATTTTCAATATATAATAAAAATGATTAACTTAAGTTTGGATTTTTAAAAAAGTTCCATTACGATTTAAATTAATTTTAAAAATTCAAGAGAAAGAATCGAATTAGATCAGATTCAATCCATTATTGTAACAATTAATGGTGAAATTTCCCTTTGATAAAAAAATCATTAAGTTTGATCATATTTCACAATCACTTACCATTGAGAAATATACATCCTACCCCCAACTTTCTGTAATAACATCACAAATAAATCCTGCCGTCAACATTCCGTTAGTGTTAAGGTTAAAATTCTGATGCCAAGAATATTCCTGCTTTTATGCTTAAATATTGAAAAAAAAAAAAAAACAGCCACACAAGTTTTTCTCTCTTCTTGTCCCCTTTTCTTTATAGCATTTTGGTTTACCCCTTTCTAAACTTACCCTTTTCTGCTAAACGCATCGTTCAAAGCCGGAGGCCGTTACCGACGTCAGAACTCTTCAAGCTCTCCCTTTCTTTGACATTTAAGTGAACCAATTAAGCGGTAAGATCCGCTTTTTTAGTTTGTGATTTTATTGTATTAGTTAATTTCAAATTTCTGTTGTTTCTTGTGATTTGATTTTATATTTGTAATTTTTTTTGTTCAATTCATGTGAAAATTATGATTTGTTTTATTGGGTTTCCACTTTCCAGGACTGTTGTAGATTTGATTATGCTTTTCAAAGAAAAACAGAAAAAAAAAAAAAAAAACCAATTCCTTATTGATTAACAAGGAGGAAAATTTTCAAAATTATTGAGCTTCAAAAAGCATTTTTCTTTTTTGTATTAGAATTTATCCTTGACGCATGGGTTGAAATTTATTTATGGATTTGGAAGATGGAATAATGGGATTTTTTTTATTTTCCAAACTTTGAATCTTGAATAGTGGAATCTAAGCTGGTTAGTGACAGAATTGATGGCTATGCTAAGATCAGTGAGGGTGTGTTTTTGTTTCAGAAATGAAGAATGATTTCTCGAAATTCTATTTTTTGTTATTGTTGGGTTATAATTTTTTTTGGCCATTTGAGTTCGAATTTCATTAATTTGCATCCCTCAAGTGCTGTTTTGCCTTGTTACTGCAATAATTTTTACATTCTAGTTTCAATATATAAATCCTACTTTTCTTTGTTGTGCAGGACCGTACAGTTTGACGCAACCAGTTTGGCATCTGTGACACTAAGATCTAATCATCTGTCTGAACATACTCACCATGAAGTTCTTAGAATACACTCCGCTTGACCGGTAATTTTCAATCATTGAAAAGATTGAATTGTAATAGATTTGCTATTTTCCTCTCCCTTCTTAGATTCTTGAGCATTGTTTACTTTCTTCCTTTTGATTTCAATTCTGAATTAAGTGGCATCTTATTTTAATAGAATAAATGATTTCCTGAGTGAATTAAACCTTGGTGAACGTACCATCAAAGGAAGCCTTGAAGCATACTCTTGTAAGTTCAAGTAAATAAGTTGTGCTGAAGATTTTGGAGATATTTGATTCAAACTCAGTTTCTTCCTTGCTTCTAGGCAAACACACAGGAACAGATAAAAGACTATCTCTCAGTTTGGAGAATGAGGTAAATTGAGAACATTCAACTTATCATATGTTTGGTTCCTTTTTACTTTAGAAGTTTATTATTGGTGGGATTTAGGTTTTTCTAATACTTGTTCCGCATCAGATCCTTGACTATCTTGGGAAATCTTCAGATACTGACTCCTCTTCGCCAGTTGAATTCCTGTTGAGCAGATCAAGGTTGTAAATATCACATTCGGTTTTAGGTTGTTTCAGTTGTCTTTCATATTTATCCTGACCAGCTTTCTATTGTGTGCATTTCAGCCGGAAGACATTGATCTACTTGGTGCTTACCCTCTATCACATGTATCCAGATTATGACTTCAGGTAACTCTGTATCTTACGCTGCATCTGCGCTTTTTCATTCCAAAGATAGCTTAAAAGGAGGATTATGGGTAATGCCACTGTCAGCTTATCGGGCGACTTGACAACCCACTATATAGTCCTCTTTTACTGCATTGGGAGTGTTGTCAAAAGGTTTTGACAGACAGTTGGCCTACTGTTGCTCTTGGAGGAGCTGAGAGTTCAATTCTCTCCATTTCCCAAATCTAAACCTGCTGATTATATGGGTTTTGTTTTTGTCCGATTAGAGTCATTTTCATTGAATGCTTTATACCAAGATTCATGTGTGTTTTGGTATGGTTCCCTTATATTATGATATTGTATGTGCCTTTGCGGTTTCCAGTGCAGTTAAAGCACACCAGTTCTTCACAGAGGAAAGCTGGGATATTTTTAAGCTGATATTTGATACCTACATGCTTGAAGCATCAAAGGTATTGGCATAATTATCTTCATTTGTTTGCTTTTGACATTGGATCTCGAAAGGTTGCACACTGTGAGAGAAAGAATTTGCATTTCCTTGAATAATTTACCTTGCAGTTACTATTGTTGCACTCGTCTACCTATTATTTTCTGTTCCTGTGGGCACTTATGTTGGTCATAAATATAGCTTCAAGTGGTTTTGTCTGGAATATGTTTATTCATTGGTTGTTTCCTTAGAACCATATGACTTTTGAGGCCTCTGGGGGGTTTTGTGGTACGCATGTCATTTGTGGGTGGTAGTGCTGGTTGGTAGCATGGGAGACAAGTGATTGCTAGTATTTATTTGGTCGTGATACGAGTTATCCTTAAATAATTTGCTTTGCCTTGCATAGTTGCATTTAAGTTTCCCGTTTTATATCATTGACAGGAATGGACTGAGACATATGGGGGCAGTTCCCTCCTGGAAACACTGTATAAGGCTCTAGATGAGGTGAGCTTAGTTTCCAAAGACAAAATGCAAGTCTCAGTAAGTGCTGATTTTGAAAGACCTGGTTATGCAGGTTGTGAAACTCTCGGAGTGTGAAATTTACAGTTATAATCCAGACTCTGATGCAGATCCCTTTCTAGAGAAAGGAGCAATGTAAGATTTTTTACTTTCAATACTTAAGTGGTTTGTCACCTGGCTATAATTAACAATTTGGGACTTTTTTTTCTTTCAGATGGTCATTCAGTTTCTTCTTCTACAATAGAAAACTAAAGCGTGTAGTGAGTTTCAACTTTTGCTGCTTAAGGTGGGTTTTGTGTTCCATGATATTTGCAGTTCCTTACAAGCTTCCATGGTTATCTTTAGGTCTCACCATATATTGTTTCTGGCAGTAACTTGGTGGCTGATGGATTTCTTGCTGACAACTTATGTTATGAGGAAGATAGTGAAATATTTGATAACATGGACATGTGACCATGAAAATGTACATACTGCTTGTACAAAATTTCAAAACCCTTTGACATTGGTCTGTTACTGTACTTTGCTATGTACACATGTAGTCGGTAATTGCGCCACATGTAATTTGGGGAATAAATGGTGATGTCTATAAGAATGTGTGTCGAATTTGAGTTTAGGGTTCATTAAGATGTTGAAGACATTCCTTACATAGCTTTGGTGCCTTTGCCCAAGTCTTTTGTACTTGTATATGTTTGAACAACAGCTGAATTTGTGTGTATTGTTGGAAATGAAGATGTGCTAAAAAGTATGGATGATGGTTAGTTGCTTTAGCACCTCTATGAAAATGCAAAATGACTAAAACAATGATTGAGTATTGTGTCATACAAGAAAATAAAATTTAGTAGTTATTTAAAAAAAAAATAAAAAGAAATGCAAAAGGTTCTATTTGTATTGTAAAACATAATTTTTAAAAAATAATTTTTGTATTTTTTAAATATTTTTGGTAAAAATTGATTGATCCATGAAAAAAAAATTTATTAAGTTCGTGAGCATGGTCTTATTTAAACAGAACACAGAACATGATTTATTAAATTCATATCGAACTTGATTCTATTTAAAATATTGTTATATTAATAAAAGGTTTTTTATTCAGTTTTATTTTAAAATTTTAAAATATTAATATTAAGTATTTTTTAATATTTAAATTTTAAATATTTTTGTTATTCTATTTAAGTCAGATATTGCGAATAATTTTTTTGAGTTTCATGTGACCTAATTTGAAATATTATTATATTTCATAATATTTTTAAATTTAAAATATATTATTTTATATTTTGTTGACAAATATATTTATATTACTAATTTAATAATAAATATAAAAATTAATATTTTTATGATTTACTGATAAATAATTTTAAATAAAATAGAACTATTTTAATAGGATAAATATTTTTAATATTTTAATATTTTAATAATGAATATTATTATTAATATTAGTATATTAATAAAAAAATATTTTAAGAATAGTAATATTATTTCAAATATTTTAAAATATTATTAAATAATAATAAATAGTTTTGTTTTAAGAGTTTAATATTAATCTAATTTTTTAATATTAAATATTATAATTAAAATATATTTTTTGAATAGTTTAATATTTATGTCAACATTATTTAAAAGAACAGTTTTTTAAAAAACAATCAAACAATAATAATTTGAATCTAAATCTTATAAATGAATGAAATATTCTATATATCTAAACTCTTATAAATGAAATATTCTATCTTAACAACTCAACCAGCTCACCTAGCTTTATATTATCCATTTCAACTCGAAGGAAGCTACTGCTATTGCTTCTTAGAGCTTCACATCAATAGTTTTAGCTTCTTCTTTCCTAGCCATCAACAGGACACTTTGACTGCTTGGTTTTGACATCCCCTGCTTCTCCTTTTTCTGGTCTTACCCCAGAAATTTTTTGTTAAAACATCTTAGACCATACATCTACTTGAAATATTTTTCTCCAAATCTTCAAGAAATCTAGACTTCTAGTCTAATCTGTAATTCAAATTGGTTTTTTTTTTTTTTTTCCAGGTATAGTTCAAAGGAATGATGGCATTAAGACCAATTCTGGTCTCAAAGTATAACCCACCATACGCTTCACAAACCTTAATCACCACCTGCCATGGAAAACCCAGGATTCAGTACTTCAAGGAAATGCCTCTAAAGAAGCTTGTCCACTCAAACATCAATAGAAGAGTAGGAGTCATAGCAACAATGGCTTATTTACTATTGATAAAGGAAAAGAATATGATTGCATGTGGAGTTGACCTAACAATGGTAGCACCAGAGCAGATAGTTGAAGAAGCAGAAAATGGGGTTCAAAATCATGCAAAAGCTTTGCTGCAAGTGAAAGATTTGACAGAATCAAAGTCCTGGGGTGAAGCCCAGAGGGAGTTAAGGAAAAGTTCTTCATTGTTGAAGCAGGATATTTATACTATCATTCAAGGAAAACCTAGAAGTGAAAAGGCCTCAACTTAGGAAGCTTTATTCTAATCTTTTCAACAATGTTTTCCCATTCGAACTATATTTTTCTTTTGTTTTGCTTTGTAGTTTTTGGTTGGTTTTCATTATCTTTTCTGTTGAGAATTGTTTTGGTTTTTGAACATTACAGCTAGATTATGCGGCCAGGGATGAAGATGCATCCAGTGTTTGGGAGTGGTACGAGAATATTGTTTTGGCTCTCAATGATATTTTATCAAAACTATAACCCAGATGTGTCACATTGGTCATTCTTCTGCCATTAAAACAAAATTCCAGCGAATCATGCTCACCGAGAGGGGAAAGCCGTGAAGGATAAAACAGATAAAGATGATTTTCCATTGATGATAGCTTTGAGTTAGTTTTCAACTATTTCATTTGAATGGCGAGGCTGCAAGATTCTTGGGTATATTGTTAGTCATTCCCTGTCCTAGCCAGCCTGGAACTGATGAAATAAATTACATATAATCCCCTCCCAGAACCTTATTTCCAGAGTTGATGAAATAAATTACAAAGCTTTTTTGGTCTTCCAAGATTACTTGTGAATAAGGGCCAACAGTTAAATACTCTTTCCAACAAGTTATTCAATCAAGCTGATTTATCTCAATGTGCCATCATGTCGAGTCGACGATACGAGAGAGAAAGAAGAGAACACCACCATTTTTTTTTTTTTAATAAAGGACACGATTTACAGTTACTTTCTGTATAAGCCCAGTTGTGAAAGTAGCATTCAACTTCAACTACAGCTACAGCTAATGAAACCTATAGTCCAACCGTAAAGCTCATTCTCAAACTAAAAACTCTGAAACAAGTGATGTGGGATCTATACTGAGTCTTGGTTTCATATACTCCAGATCCCATTGCCTCAACCATCTATCTGAAATAAAATGAGCACATCATTCTCCAAAAGCAGTAACTTCAATGAACTACCAAAATCAAGGTGACCCCGTCACTCCAGGGAAGAGTTCTGATATTTTGTTGAATACATCCATAACCTGAAATGCAAAAACAAATCACATAAAACGAATTATCAACAATAAGACAGTATCAAGATATCAACTTCAAAGACAATATCTGCTGTGATCAAGAGCCTGAACATGGCAGCACAGGTTAACTAAGAATCTGATGTGCTGTAGATTGTATCTTAACAAGTATTTTTGCAGAAGCTCATTGAAATAATAACGAAGAAAATTTTGCTTAAAAGGGCAAATCGAGGCAAGACACTCAAAGTGATGCTCAATTAGCCAATCGATAAAATTTTAAATATTAAACACACAATGTGAATAGAAATGAAATATTAAACATACAATGTGAAAAGAAAAAAAAAAAAAAAAAAAGAGACCTAGATTACCTCCTTGTCATTTTGATATTTTGCAATACTCAGTGGGTTCTGTGAACACTGAAAAAGCAACAAATAGTAAAGAACATGAATACTAAAGATTTAGCATGCATGCATGACATCGAGAGAGATAATTAATGATTCGTCAGTAAACCAGATAGAACATACATCCATGATAGCTGCCTGAACTCTAGGGTTTTGGAACGCCATAGCAACTTCAGGGTTGGCCATTATTTTGGATATTACTTCTTCAGGTGTAAGCCCAATCTGATCTGCAAAAGGGAAATGAAGAGATTAAGAACCTTCTTCAGGTATTAGACCACATTCGGGCAGGAGACAACTTGACCATCTAATAACTAAATATAAACAACAAATAATATTTCTGAATTACACCAAGCAATCAATATCTTATCCCAAGCATTTGAACACTTCAACAAAAGCTTTGGACTTACCAAATTGCTGTTTTACCTCAAGACTGTTAAGATCAAAGTTTTTCAAGGAATCCATCATCCTATTGTCCCATTCAGCACTTCCACCCATATTATTTCTGAAAAGAATTATCAAGGCATAAAGATAAGCATGTGGGTTATCCATAAACAGATCCAATTCTAAATAATAACAAAATTAATAGCAAACATTAATGCATATAATAGGGGAAAATGAATAGGATCAACAACCATCACAGCAAGTTAATAAGTTCCATCTATAAATCACAACACTTGTCTTTCAATATCAAATGCCAAAAACTCAAGCAGAGTGGTAGGGAAAATAATTTACACAAATTACGATTCTATCAGCAGAGTGAGAGAGTATACTATCTCTTAATGCATAGTACAGACAAATTTTAAGCATCAATGAACCACCAAGGGTTATATTTTCCTGATCAATTGAAAGTTAATGACAATCAAGAAAAATTAGACAAAGGTATAACTAAAGACTTGGCATCCAATAAATGCATAAAATATGAAACGTGACATAACAGAAAAATAGAAAAAGGAATTCAAGAAAGGCATCGATGCATGCATATTACAAGGTATTCAAAAAGCCAATGTTGGCTATAGTATCATGCTAATTTCGCATGTAAGAATGCCATGTCAACTTTAGATAAGTTTCATTCTTAGTTTCTTACTCTTAAAAACAACTATAGACATTTAGGGAAAAATTTTAATAAGAATTCAATAACATTTTAAGATTAGAGTACAAAAGTAATATCATTCCAACTCCACCTATAAAAATTTTGTATGAAGAAATCAAGACCAGGAATAATTTATCAATAAACTTTAGATACAATAGAATAACTGTACTAGAACAAGAATGAGAAGCAAACATGTAAAGTTTTTGGAGGCAATGCTTGTAACAACTCTAAATCAGGAGAAAGACAAGCCCCTTAAAAATTATCAAATGCAGAAAGTCAAAACAAATCTTACAGCATGTCTTGCAGTTGTTGCCGGTATTGAGGATTTTGTAGCATCCCTACACAAAATATGCACGTCAGAAAGAAAATTGGCACATTAAAAAAAATCCATGAAATTACAGCACTGCTTATGTATCAAAGGAACAAAGCACTTTTAAAAACAAATAACTATAATAAATTGTCTGGGAAATGAAACAAATTTTCCAGGATTCAGAAACCTGGGGAAATTAATTAGAACTGAGACTCTCAATAACTATACAGGCACAAATTCCCTAAGCATATAGAAAAAGCTTTGCAAAAGCTGAAAATTCTGATATCAAATTTAACCAGACAAGAGACAGACCATCATCTATGCTTTTAACATATAAAGTTTACAGAGACCACAAAAAGCTACCCTTCTCTATTCCCACCCATCCATCCTCCTCATCCAAAAAGAAAAAGAACATAAAAACAGAGAAGGACAGAGTTGTTACAATAAGCATGGACTTACATTTAAATGTCTCAGGGTTCCTCATTTCCTCAGGCAAATATCTGTATGGATAAATAAAAGATTAAATTTCCTTTCAGTAATAGATATCACAGATTGCAATAAAAAGGTTAGTTCAATTTACACAAAAAAAAACCTACTAAGGGAACTGGGAAGAAGTCTTGTGTAAAAGCTTTTTTAACAGACACAAAAAGATTTAACTTGGTGGTATTCTTTTTTTAGGGGTGTTATTAGGACTCAGCTGAAGGCCTCATATGAAAGGAAAGCACTATATCTCAGATCCCATCCAAACAGCCACCCCCCAAAAAAAAAACAAAATCTTCTCCCTCTCTTCTTAGTTATAACAACCTAATAAAGACTAGATGGCTTCTCTCTTTTATTGGTAACACTACAGCTAGCCTTCAAATAGTCCACTTTCTAATTTCCATACTTAGTTAATATACTTAGAGTTGAATTTTCTCCAATAAGAACATTGATAAATGACTTCCAGATGTGAAAACCAATCAACCGAAGCAAAAGGGAAAGTTAGGCTTGCTTATCTAACTTGGCGCTTACGAGTTTTGAGGGATTTTTTAGCAGACTTAACTCATTACCATACCTTATCCAGGTCAAAGTCCAGGCACTCAAAAAGTTAATGGAAGTTTATGAGCTTTGCCTTCAAAGTAACTTGCTTGGCTCTCAATTTTCCAAAAGCATTATTATGGTGGATTTGATGCCAGCTTTCAGTCACTAAGTTCAGGACAAGGTCCACAAGTATAAGGAGAAATGACTAATAGGGTAGATTTGATGCCAGCCTTCAATTGCTAACTTCAAGGGCAAGGTCCACAAGAATTAGGTTAAATGACTATCTTTGCATTGGTGGGAAAAGGCTTTTGGCTTAAGGTTTGAATATTATCGGATTGTCACTGGGAGAAGAAAAAGAAAGAAGAGACAACAAAGAAGAAGATAACTCAGTTTTGACCAGCAACATTCACAGTCCAGTACAGTAGGCTTAAGAAACTGGTGTAAATAGGTATCAAGATCATTAAGGACATTGATCAGAGTCATCAAAGTTAAATAAAAGGTGTAGGGACATAAGATCAGGACTCAGTCGCTAAAAGACTGAGAATTTAAAGTTGTAATATAAGTCATTGTTCATTCATCAAAACATTTGAGATACCAAGCCTAATAAATTTTATATATCAGAAAGAAATACAAGAAACTTTAATAATCTGATATTGACCCTGTTTTTTGTTACTTTTGCAACTATTCCAAAGAATAAGAATGAAAGAATGGACATTGAGACAGAAGCATAAACTTTCACCATAACACAGGCACACCGAGATGACACCAATCAAAAAAAAAATCAGAAAAAAATAAATATTTGAGGATAAGAAGCTATATTACGGATAAACCATCTTCTGCACTGTTGGATCTTCCATCATTTTCTCTAAAGCATCCACAGATAAGGCAGGTCCTGCTCTTCCTGCAAATGCAACAGGATGCTTTGTTAAGTATTACTGGGAGAGCACAGAAGAAATTAGAAAGCATGCACAAAATGAGCACATGCATGATTAAAGCATTGGTATGCACAAGTACATGTAAACTAGTGACAAAGAGGCACCATGTATAACTTTAATCATAAAGCAAACACAGTGCCACATAAGAGGGCAGCAGAAATGAATCTGTATCGATGAGGTAAGAAATCCACCTATTTAACCACCATTTAGCTATGCCAATAAATGCATCAGGAAATGTCTTTCTAAAGAGCTAAATATTGAACAAAATAGTAATAATTACTAAGAAAACTGTATGCGTATGGGCACATGACAAATCCGGTAATTTTAAGTGCTTACTCCCTTATTCCTACATTGCCTAGTGCCTCCTATTATTGTTCCTTTACTTTAACTACATACCATAACTCAATCTATGATATCCCCCATTGTTGCAAGATTTACTAATCTCTGATATGTTCACAAAAACAAATTTGATTTTTTTATGTTCAAATTATTACCTCCCATAGTCCCAGTAAAATTTTAAACCAATGGGAAAACTGCAACGGTTAAAACTGTTATACTGACACAAAATTCTCCATGTTTTTATCCTTTTCTTCAGACAGTTATTACAGCCACTACCAAAAAAAAAAAGCCATACTTTCATTTCAAATAATCATTCAATCAGTTACAAAATATTTACATACCGGTTGACTGATAATCCCCAAAAGCACCAGCATCCTGCTTGGATGCAGCTCCATTATCAGAAACCTTCATACATCATTCAAAAATTTAATTTCCCAGAATAGATTCTTTGAATCTTAAAGAAATTAATTCATACTACCACAGTCTCATAGCAAGAGCTCAATCAAAAGCTTACATCCTTAGGAAACTGAGCTTTATCTGATGAACTTAGCTCAGCCACATCTTCAAAAGCACTCTTCTGCACACTTTCTTCTGAAGAAACATCCACAAAAGCTGCAAAGAACATTGAATCAGTCTAAAAGAAACAATCTCAAGAACAACATCAGCAATCAGAATGAATTCGGTGGTTACTGAATCTACAACCATCATTTGAGAAAGTAGAAAATTTCATCGATACTAGACCTCAGTTTTATGCTTCCACATATAAAGTACACCCCTTCTTTTCAGAGAAGAAATGGAAAAGATTTATTTGTTTTACTAATGTTTCATATATATGAAAAAGCCATATAATGCTCCCTTTTTACCTCAAAAAGGGAAGAGTTCCACATTATACATCATATGGCAGCAGTAAAAATTCTATTTTACCATATTTCTTTGGTTCTGCTATTTCTGTTTCACTTTTTCCTTCCGTCACTGGATCAGTCACCGGGGCTTCTTCAACTTTTGTTGCAGGTACATCAACTGTAACTGCAGGTTGAGAAGAAGATGGAGAAGGGGATGTGGCAGGTCGTGGTGATGGAGGCACTGGAAATGGAAATGGGGATCCCGAAGGAAAAGCAGCATTGCCAAACTGGTTATTTTGTGTATTTGTCTGACCCATCATGGTTTTGAAAGCTTGTTGCATTGCATATTTCTGAATAATGGAAAGGTAAATATCATAAAGAAATGAAATAACAGAGTTATATACTGACAAACCATGATAGGGCTTTGATTGTCCTTATGACAACCAAGAAACTCACTTTAGCATAAAAATTTGGTATCATACCATTATTATTAACATTTGACAGATATTTTTCTTGGTACCATAATACAGAAGCGCATTGGAGTCATGCAGTTGCAAAGATTATATCAAGGCAAGCTGCTGCAATGAGGTCAGCTTCTCAACACCATTCAATTGAAATCAGATGGAAATTTAAGAGGCACTAATCATAAAACTAGCACTTTATTTACTGGCCTGCAATTTAATATCTTGGATCCATAATTTCAATTAACAACAACTTCATTGTCAGCACAAAACTCCACCCCATGGAGGCCCAAGCAGGGGTTCACACGTACCTTTAAGATGGACAAAGAGAAAATTTTACAACTATCAAAACACAATTTTGCAGGTTAACTCCTATCTTGCTTTCAACCATCACAATTTATTATAGCCTTGATTCTTGGATTTCAAAGAATAAATAGCAATTAGAATCAAGCACATAGCCAAATAATTTGTTCAAATTAGGACTGGTGGACAAGTTCATATCATACTGTTTAGTCTTCTTGACCGAACTTAAACACTCTGACCACGGCCAAACACATCCCCTCCAAAAGAAAAAAAAATAACAGATAAAAGAAGGCACCTTTACGATGATAACACACAAGAAACACAAGAACCTTGAAAAACTAATGGAACAACATCAACTTCCAGTAATAATTTGATGATATAACAGCCAATAAAATAGCCAATTCAATCTAAAGTTTCCCCACTCACATGCCAATTTCTGTCTTCAAATACCACAAGAAGAATAATCAAGACTTTCAATTTGTAGAAAACATCCAAAGCATGCATACTAAATAAATTTTTACCCATTGCCAATTTTCATTGCTTCATTGAAGTACCCAGTTCTACGTCCAAAATTATAGGAAAAGATTCAATCACACAAGTAACAGGCAAAAACAATACAACCATACCTCATATGAGAGAAACCCTCACCTTTAAGCTAGAAGCCACCTGTCATTTCAATCAACTTCATCAAAATATGTACAACAAAGGAAACCATTTCCATTATTAATACAGAAATTACTAAAAATATCACCCAAAGGAAAAAAAAAAAATTAATCGTTGTGCTCACCCATGTAAAAAGTGCTGAGAGCCCAACACCTACTCCAATCCAGAAGAGTGGTGACCCTCTATAAAACATAAACACGCAAACAACTAAGCAAAGAAATAAATGCTCACAAAACACACACCAAAAAAAAAAAAAAAAGAATATTAAAAATATCCGTTCAATCATTACCTTTTTTATGAGCCTTTTACTTCCTCCAACATTGCAATAAAGTAAAAGTAAATAATTAAAAAATCATATTTTCATTAAAAATTGAGTAAATTGTTAAAATTTGATATCAATTCAAATATAGTAGTTTCATATATAAGTAAAATCACAAAGTATTTCGTTAGCCATGAAACTTTTTGCCACCCTAAAAAGTTACAAAGAAGAAAAAGATTAAAAATAGATAAATGACTAAAATTCAACATTAATTCTAATATATAATACTACTTTTTATTGTACATTAATGTAAAATAAAATGTTTTGTTCTCTAAAAAACTTACAATTTTAAGCTTTAATTATTCTTTTTTTTTTCATTTTCAAAATCAGAAATTAGAAACCAAAGATAAATAGGAAGGAAACGGTGATTGAATTACATTTGAGAGGACGGCGGTTGCACAGTTGGATTAGGGTTAACTCCAACTGAAGAAGTTCGTTGATTACTTGAAGAAGAAACGCTAGCAAACCTCTCATCTCCAACCTTTCTCAAAACTGCATTAACACAAACAAAATCAAATCAAGTCATAAACCTTTATAAAATCAAAACAATGAAGAAAGAAAGAGAGAATAAAAAAATACCAATTTGGGGAAGACGTCGGGGAGGAGTAGCGTGGGTAGCGTTGGAGATTCTGGAATGACGGGGGGTAATCTTGGAAGTTCGAAAAGTGAAGGTTTTGGTAGGGTTTTTGAGAGTGTACTTAGGATTACTGCATCCGAAGAGAAATAACTTTGAAATAGAAGAAGATGAAGAAACTAACGCCATATTCAGATTTTCCATTGAATTTTACAGTCCCAATTTAAAAAAAAAAAAAGAAATGAGAAGAAATGGAAGTTGAAGCGAGAAGACGAGTGTGAGAGAGAGAAGCAAAGAAGAGTTGAAACGGAGGATGACAGAAGAAGCACAATGGGTAAACGGCTATATGTTTCATTCATACCTAAATTTCGGTACTTTTGGAGGTGTTTGTTTCTTTGGTTAGTTTGGCTTGGAATGGGATTTCGCTATTCCATTTGGGATGCTTCACTTGCTCAACTTATTGAATAAAAATAATTTCCAAAGTTCTTAGTCACGAATTTAAGAAACTATTTTCAAAATAGTTTACTACAAAAGAAAATTAATTTTTTTATTTCGTAAATTTTAACTTAACTATTTTGAAATTCAAAATCTGATTTTTTTTTTCAAAATAATGTGTCAAATTCTAATTATTATGATTCTTTGTTTTGGTATTCAAAAATTTTTTTTAAATGAATTAGTTTATTGAAAAATAGGTCAAATGTGCATAAAACTTAAACATTTTCTTTTCGATAATATATTTTAATATTCTTTAAAATGTCAAATGAGTTGTGCCAAAAGTCATCGTGAGTATAAAGATTTGACATATTTTAATATTCAAATCTCATTTACAACAGTAAGATTGATTACGATAATATTAAAAATAATAATAAAATTTATTATAATTGTGACTGAAAAAAAATTATTGTAACTGCAATTGAAAATAAAAATTTTAATAAAAAATTTATATTAATTTGATCTCATTAAAATTAACATTTTAAATTCAACCAGAGATGTGATAAATTAATAAGTATTGAACTAGCCTGATAATATCCAGTTAATCATCAATTTTTGCAAGAAAATAAGAAAATGAAAACCAACAAACACGAAAATATGCAGAAAGTAACTGAAATATGTCAAACTTGATACTCCATTGATGGTTTCTTTAACTTCTCAACTCTACCATCTGATTCAGCCCGAGGGGAAAGAATTTGAGAGACAAACTCTCTCTCTCTCTCTCTCTCCCTCTAACTGTTTTTACAAGCCATGCCACAAAAAGTTCGAAATCTAAACCCTATCACCACAAAAAAATATAATTAAAGCTCGAATGTTGTGACCATTTTTGATTTAATGAATCCCTATTCCTATGTGGTTGCAACTTGCAAGACTTTGTCCTCTCACTCGCTCTTTAGTGTTGTCTTTGAACCTGCATGTCGTCTGAATACCGGAGAGTAGTTATGGTGCCGGATGAGCATGATCAAGACAAAAGTATTAGCAGCCAGAAAGAATAAGCTTGCCACCCAGAGCTGTAAAAAGACATTCTTGCCTTTAAACTCAAGCAGATAACCCCACATCAACCAGTGAGTTTGAGCTCCAATCCACAAAAGAATGCAACATAGACCTTGCCATTTAAGCTTCATATTGGTCCATGGCAGAATAAGAGGTAAGAGGCAAAAGAACCAGACAAAGTATTGTGCTGTGATTACCTGTCCAAGGAGTAAGTCCAGCATAAATACACAAGACTCTACTAGATGGGTTAAGTACAATCTAATGCCTGGTCGGGTCTGCCTTGAACTTTTTGAAGAATGCAAATTCATGCATCGCTGCATTTTAAACATTTCATGAACAGAAACGGGCCAGGAGAGGGGATGGACAGAATTTAGATTACGCATTTTGATTTCCTATGGCTTATGATGATATGTCAAGGTTCCATAAAGTCAAGCTAGGAATATTAAATTTGTATACCTTATTGAATGCTACAAATGCCACTGTCTGTACAAAGAAGCAGAATAGGAGATCCTTGGCGAAGCAGAAAACAAGAACCAACTGCACTATAACTTGAGGCAAAAAGGAGATGAGCTTTTCCAGAATCGAAAGCTCACGTTCGTAGTTAAGATAGATATGGTAGAAATAGATGGAAAAATTGTGTCTTGGATCCGTGCGAGTAAGATGGTAGAGCAATGCCTCATGTAGAAATTCCCATCCATATAAATAGAAGAAAAAACCAGTAAAAAAGAGGAAAACGCTCCCTGAAACCAGACCAAACAAAATTCTTGACCTTGTGAAAATGCTTTTAAATGCAATCCATACATCACACTGATCAGTCACTTCTGAATTAATTTGAGGAGTCTTTCCTTGATCAGAGGTCCAATCACAAAGCAATGGCTTCACACCAGATTGGAAAAAGCATGGATCAAGAAAAAGGATGATGGGAAGTGCATAGATTATAGGATAAATTCTGAAGTGAACAATAAGACCATACCAACATGCAGCTTGTAGAACATTACCTATCATGAAGAAAGAATGAAATCAACAGAGCCCAACCAATATACAGCATGTTAAATTAGATAACAACAGAATTCTTCATGTAGTGCCTAATCATCAATGATCAAACAAAAGACTTACACTAGATATTGAAATATAACATATAAAAACTAGTGAAACAAAAACTTTCCCATTCCATACCCTAACTCTTAACTTTCTCAATAATAAATCAATTGAAATCAAGTAGGCAGTCCAATAGAACTACTATCTCAGTAAATCCCTCCCATTAAGCCAGTAGTGCAAGTCTTGCACTCTCTAAAAACATAAACTGGAACATCACAAGTGAAATCACAGAATGGGGTGCATTAGAGACACCTATAATTCAAATAACAATATCATCTTTCAAAAGCACCGAAGTTCCCAAGAGCATCTTATGTAGTTACACTATCCCCTACATTGTATTACTGAAAATTTAATAGAAATTGTTTATATCAGCTGAACAACTAAGGTGTGGTCAAGGTTTTGTAATTTTTTCTTTGGCAGGTTAAAATGGCAAGATGCCAGACTTGCAAATGAAAGGAATCTGTAGGCTATCCCTGCACACTAAGAAGCTAATCGGGAAGAACCAAGACAGACCAGCAAATGAAAGGAATCTGTTGGTGCTCCCTCAAGATGGATTTGACCTAGAGTGGACTCAAGTTTGAGTCCTCCCAATGTCTATGGGGAGGACACTGAAAACCACAACATCTTATCTACCAAAAAACATAGACATAAGCCTTTACCTATAAGCTACCCTTTCTATTTGCTAAGGCATCATCGAGTTGACTTTACAATGAATTAGCAGCCAACCTAGCAGTTGATGAAGAAGAAGGATACAACCAATTTTTTAAGGCATCATAAGAAACTAATACATATAATACCAAAAAGAATGCAAATATATTTAACTTAAAGAGAATAGCAAGTCCAAATACCTATGGAAGTAAAAGCATACCATTCATAAGACAGATAACAATCCACAAAAGTATGGCACAAACAATAGGTTCACAGTTTCCCCGAGTTCCAATTGTGAAGGTAAAGGGGTTGAAAAGCCATATCAACAAGGAATATGTGCACAGGTCTTCAGGCACCTTACGCTGCTTCAATATGATATGGATAAACAACCCAACAAATAAATCTGCAAAAATCGGATCAGAACCAAAACTCACAACGAAAACTGTGTTCTGTTGCATTCACTTTCTAACAACTACATACATCCATATCTAAATCCAGTATTATAATAGTTTAGCATAGTAATAGGCTAACTAGAGAGACCTTTTAAAAAGAGATATCTTAAGATCTTTTCATGTCCACAGATCAAATTATAATGCCCCTGCTAATTTTTTTTGCTTTGGAACATACAGGACAATATAAACCAACCTAAGGACAGGATTTGCCCTCAACTTGCTTCAGGCATTATGTGACTAGCGACATCTAGTGTGGTGCCCCTAAGAAAAAATCTTACAAGAAGCTAATCTGCCACCAATCAACATATAACCAAATCATTTTAGGTAGCACTTGCCAATTAATTTGATACTTGTATTCTGGCTTGTAGAAGCAAAAGGCCAAAGGCACGTTTAGAGACAAAGTAAATAATATTTTTGAACAATCACAAATTAAAAATGCAATTTTCTTTAATTACAAAATGCATGATTTTACCCTTATACAGACCAATTGTATACTACAACTGATAGTAAATCTTAGTCATTTGTTCATTTGGGTCGAAAACTTGTGCTTCTTCAATGCTTATTATCTTGCAAACAGATGTTACCCACATTAAAGTGCATATGATCAAAAGCTTTAAATTTGTGCTGAAAAACTAAAATTTGAAAAAACTAAAAATTGGAGTTGGAAATAGGGGATGGGTCAATCAGTGATGAATTTGCTATTGGTTTATAGCAACTTATTACGCAGTAAAAAGCAAATACCAACAAACCTTGAGTAGCAAAAATAACCAACCAAACATAGCCTTATATTGTGCAATGAAGACATGGGTTTTAGCTAAAAAAATCAGCATATCCAACAAGAACTTCCCAAGTGCAAAAGCTAGAAACTTGCATAATAAATTCTAAAATGGGTAAAATTCTATAGGCTACAACTGATGTTAAATAGTGAAAATACCTGAAGCTGAGAAGAGAAACTTGCCCCAAGAACGAGAAAGAAAAGAGTTGGGGATTAAAAGAAAAGCAAGTAACGGTGAATAACGGTAAGTGGTTCTTTTATAAGGAGAATGACCAGAAGCCATTAAAGAAGCAGCATCAGAAAAAACAAGGTAATCTACATCTGTGTATCTAACTTCCATATGGGCATCTTGCCATTCTCCATACAGGATTAAACCCACACGGAAGATGGCTGATATGAGGAAAATTGAATGGGTTTTAAGTGAAGTCATAGCTGAAAATTGGAATTTTGAGGGAAAAAAAAATTAGACCCAAATCAAAGCCATTTTGGAATGAGATGAAGAAAAACTGTGCAGTTTAAGGAGGAAAGAAAAGCGAAGTTTAAAAAGGAGAAAATTAGAAAAAAAATAAAAATAAGAGAGATCAAAGGATCAAGGACACGAAATAATGTGACTAACAAAAGATGAAAAAATATGTACCTGTCAATTTTAAATAGTACCTCACCTCGTATGAAAAGAATGATTAAAAAAAGCAAAAGGGTAAAAGAAACTAAATTAAAATTCAATAATTATCTAAATTTTTATTATTTTTTAATTCATTAAACTGTTAAACATTTATTTTTATCAATTAACCCCTTATAAAAAATGATTAATTATTCTCCTTCAATAAAAAACTTAATTGAGTAACAATATATGTATAAAAGTTTAATTAAATTAATATATATATATATGTTTAAAGATTTAACTGATTCATAATAAAAGATTCAAGATTGATTAATTGTAATAAAATATCAAAAACTTAAATGATTATTGAATTTTTATTTGAAAATATTTTTTACTCTTATGCCTTAAAAAATATATAAATTATAATTTTACTAAAAATTTATATGAATTTAATAAAATTAAAAATGTATTTTTTTTACTACATGAATTATAATGCATCAATTTTTATATTTTACAAGTGTTAATATGATATAAATATATACAAATTATTATGTTTTAAAAAATTAAACTAATAAATAATTAATTTTTTAGTTAAAAAATAATCAATAATAATTTTTTTATATAATAAAAAAGAGCAAAGACAGAAACGTTTCATTGGTATCTAAATTCTAAATATAATAAAATAAAATATTAGTAACTTAAATTTGAGTTGAAATTTATATTATCCAATAACGAAATTAATATTTTCTTAATGTAAATTATAGTTATTCTAAACAAATAATTATAAATTCTTTTATTGCAATCTTCTCCCTCACAGTGGATATTAAATTATAACAATTACTTAAATCAGATATTGTCCTAAACATAAAAAGTTTTAAGTTTTCTCATTCTTTAACGTGATTTATGATAAAATACTAAAATTTTATGATTTGTTAATAAAATATTAAATTTTAATTTTAATAATCAAATTCAATCCTAATAACTTTAATTTAAAGAAATAGCTTTTTTTAAATTTAAAACTTAATGTGTTATTATCTATATATAATCTTGGATTTCATCATATTTTAGATGTATTATAATTAAGTTCATCGTATTAACAATTAAATTTAAATATCAATTTCAATGAAAATAAGTCACATAAATTTTTCATTAAAATTTATTTTTTAATTGTAATTATAATAATAATTATTATTATTTTTAATCTCATCACAATTAATTTCATCATTTATCAAATAAAATTATGATATCCAACAAATGAAATAGTATTAATGCTTCAATTCACATAACAATTGATTCCTCTATTAATCAATAACACGTGTAACGTGAAGATTTTGGAGAATTCAAAAAAAAATGTTTTTTCTTTTTTTGTTTATTTTAGTTGGATAAAAGTGGTGTATTTTAACTTTTTTAAATAATCAATAACATACAATTATTTTTATTTTTATTCAATCAATTAAATGAAAGGAGGATGCCGGATTTGAGATTGTTTGGAGTTCTAATTGTGAGATTGTTAGGTTTTGATTTGTGAGATATATGGATTAGTGGATTTTGAATTTAATTGATTTAGTATTCTATAATAAAGTTGAATATTTTATTTTTTTAATTTTATGTTATTAATTTGCTCTATGTTATATTATAAATATAATATATTCTTATATATAACTATTTAAAAAATCAAATAAAATATTATATATAAATTATGTAATTTATTAATGATTTGGTCTTTAATTGGATTGCAACATAGTGAGCTGGCTTTTAATTAAATTTAAAACAAGAAATGTGGATGTTTGTTTGACATGGGATAGTAATTAGATGTATTTTTTTTTAATGAGTTTTGAGTTTTTATTATTTATTATTTATAATAAAATAAATTAAAATTTATAAATGATAAATATAAATATAAAAAGATATAAAACAAAAAATAAAATTTAACTTACTTTTCTTTTCTCTTCTTTTGTTTTAGATTTTTTTATAAAAAATTTTTATAATCTACAATAAATTAAAAAATTATACATTTGATCAAATGATTAATGAAAAATACAATACTCATAATATAATATGAAATTTTAATAAAAAAATATAATCACAATATATGAAACATTACTTTTATAAAATTTTTATTATTTTATATTAAAATAATTATAAATATATTCAAAATATCAAAAATTTTGAGTAAAAAAAAATCACTCCTGATCTAATTCTAGTATTATAAATGGTAGTATCAGTATGATCTCAATGGGTGACAAACCCAGTGTTTTACATGTAACTGTTAAAAAACATTCTACAGGAGATAAGGTATGAACTAGGACAAACAAGAAGGATTTGCAATGGGATAAAAAAAAAAAGACTCAAAAGATTAACCTCAAATTATACATTCACCGGTAATGCAAAGGAAAATGATGAAAAGAATATGGGGAAAAGGGGGGAAGAAAAGGTTTAGCTATTGAATTTGCAGGGTATCTAAATCCTTCTTTACAATCAGGTTGCCTGAATTGCTCCTTGTGAAAAGTTCTTCAACCACCTCATCCCAGTTAGTCCCTCTAGAACTTGACTCGGCTTTAGGTTTTGGGGTATCTCGTTTGTGGGCTTGGGTTTCTGTTCCCTCTTTCACTGACAGTTGTTCCCCGGTGGTTATGGCATGGGGGATATTCAAACTGACAGCTCTTTCCAATGCATCTTTGTGTTCTTTCTTAATCGTCTGCAACCTCTCCAGTTTCTGTATTTTGGGGGGAACAGTCATCGTCTCCGATTTCTTCTCCCTCATAATCTGTAAGAACCAACAACTAAGCTAATGCTGCAAGAATGTTTGAAAAATCCAAAGTACAGCAGAGAAACTTTAATATTAACCAAAAAAAGAGAAAAACCTCACCTTCAAAGCCTTCTCTGCTTCCCTTTCTATCCAAACTATTCCATGATCAGACGTTGCATTAAAAGATAAGACAATATGTTCAAACCTCTCATCTACAGGAATGGCTGTTCTGACTTCAGGAGGAAACCTCCCGCATCTACAGATGCCAATGACATAGTAACTTAATATCAAATAACATGAAGCACAAATATTAACTGCATCAACGATAGGGCAATGTCCTTTAAAAAGAGACAACTTCACCATAATTTAAGATAGAATTGTAAACAATTGGTTGGTTAGGAACCTTCTAATTTGAAGCCCATTCCCAACTAGAGGGAACCATATAAGGCAAATCACTCTTGGTTGTATGGCAAATTAGTGAGGTTTAGCCTGGAACTTAGTTTAGTTGGTTCATATAGTCATCCTAAGAGGTAGCATTTAATAGGTCTAGAGTTTAGCACCTGCAACTCCTTCCTCCTAGTGTGTGGTCTCCTATGTACCAAAAAAGTTAATGAGATAGTAATAACTTTGAAATCAATCAAGGGAGTAATATTAAATGATCAGCAACTGGTTAAGCAGTTGGTTTAAAATTCAACTTCTATAATCAAAAGTAAAACTAATTGCAATTGGAAATGGGACGTAGCAATCATTATTAGGCTTACTTTCTATAACGAACAAATCTAAGCTTGAAAGTGGCCAAAAATAGCAAGAAGGGGGCAAAGAATTTTTGTTTGCAGAGCAACAAAGTCATTGAAATATTCACACAATGCATTAGGTGATGTAAATATCAAGAAGAACCGAGAGCCTAAAAATGTCGGTACCTGCAAAATTTTCTCTCTACAATATGATACATCCGTCCAGGAGCATAAAGTCTTCTTGGATCTCTAAGTTTTCTACCTTCAGGTACGAAGGTATCCCTCAAGCAAACAAGAAATAACAAGCAGGGCAAGCTGTCCAAAGCATCAAGGCCAGGTTTAAGGGATAATAATAGTAGAAATAACAATTCACTCCACTAAGTATCTATAGGAAAATCTAAGAGAACGATTAATGAAAAGATGCAAAAACAAGCAGGAAAAAAAAACTAACCAGAATATTGACTTGAAGATATCCTCCAACGGGGTGGCTGTCCTAGGCAAGAAATCATCCTGGATAAGAATTATAATTTCATGTGAAGGGGATTTTATAAGAATTATAATTTCATGTAAAGGGGATTTTAACAATCTAAATTCAATAAATTAAGATGATTGAGAAGCCCTACTAATACCAAATAAATATATAAATGTAGATCTGATAATTTTAAACACGATATGATAATAAGATACAAAAATGATACGAAAAAAAACACGATTTAAAATTTTAGTAAAAATCGCAAATGGATTAAGCAAAAAATCAAAAAACATGTTTTGTCTATGGCATGTATGGCAATTTTCATGTTTTAACATGTTAAACACAAAATAAACATAAAAAGATACATGAATTGTCATTTCTAGTCTATATAAATGCTGGCAAAAAACATAGAGAATGGTAAATTATCAAGAATAAAGAAAGAAAGAAAGAAACCTAAATGGATACTCTATGAACAAAAATAACTAGAATGCTACAAATTTTGAAAGCCTCTGACATAGATTTATTATTTCATTTTTTTTCCCTTGCCTGGAAGGCAGTCACCACTTATTACTTTCAATGTCACTCATCAAATAAAAAAGTTTACCGTTTTGCTGCTTTCTCTAATCTGGATATATATCAAAATAGCAAAACATAAACTTCAATCCTTTGCTTGATGCCAGTGGGATTAGTTGCATTGATAAGGCTTGAATATTTCAGTTATAAGGTCTAGGTTCGAATCCCGCTGCCAACAATCTCTTTGGTGGGCAATCCATAAATCTAATGTAAGTTTGCTTTGCCTTCTCTCACCCGAAACTTTTTTGACAAAAAAAAAAATCTTTGTTTGACAGGTGGGAAAGAGTAAGGCAAGAAAAAAAGAGATTGAAGGAAAAAGGCAGAAGGAAAACTAATTTCCCACGTTTGGTAGGAAGGAAATAGGAAGAACTAAGGAAATTTAGTAAATTTGCACTTTTCCACTCTCTCAACAAGCAACCATTCCATATGAAAGAAAAATCACATCGAACCAAAATAAATTATCTTATAAACTATTTTCTTTCCACAAGGGAAAAACAAATTTTCTTCCTTTCCTTCCCCTTTTTCTTCCCTATTAAGCATATAGTAAAATTGGACCTATTGATCTATCAGCAAATAAAACTATGAAAGATTCAATTTTGAAAAAAAAAATCAATGATTTCAAAATAAAAACAACAACTCAGAACCAAAATAACAAAACAATTGAACAATTTGAACAAAAGCATAAACTAAAATCACCTGCAACACAATAGAGTGAATAATATCAGCATACTTGACAGCCAAGTTAAGTGACATACACCTCGCCGGCGCCACCGCGTAGCACCTAATCTTACTCCGGGGAATCCCACCCAACCTATGAGTATGATTAACCACCACAACCGTCAGCAACGCCGCCACGCCAGACCCCAAAGAATGTCCAGCGAAAATCATCTGATATTCCCTCCCAGTCTCTTCCCAAAGCCTCCTCAACGTCTCACTCTCCTCGTTCAACAGCCAAACCGCCGATTCCAACAGCCCGTGATGAACATAACCCCCATCAAACATTTGCATTCCTAACCTATTATTCAAAAGCAATTTATAGTCACTTTCTTTCGCCAGGTTGAGTCCCCGGATTGCGACCACGATTTCCTTCATGTCATGGTCGGCGTAGATAAGGTAAGGAGGAGCACAACCATTGGTCTGTTCATAGGTGACACGTTTCAAAACCCAGTCTGGGTTAAGTCGGTAGCCGCCCTCAGGAGGGAACTGGGGGTTTCTGAGATCAGTTTCGTAGACAGCTAGGGTTATACGGCAGACTCTTGGGACAGGTTCGAACTCGTCGGGAGTAGCTAAAGGCCAAGTTTTACTGTCGTCCGAGCCAACGTAGGTACAGCGTTTCCATGCCCAACGTAAACAACCGAGAACGACTACCCATTCAACGCCGCAAGATACAGACATTTATGGTCGAATCAGAGAAATAGGCGATGGCTGTTATTAATGTTAAAGAGAGAAAGTGGGGATGGTGGGATTTTAGAGAGAGAAAGGAGGGGAAAGAGGAGAAGGAAAAGACGATTCGGAAGGGAGAGGGAGAGAAGGGGTGATAGGAATCACGTGGGGGAGATGACAGCCGATAAAAGAATGATTTTACGGAGGGATTTTGGTTTTCGGACATCTCCAACCTTTCAAGCTTTAACTTTGAATGAGGTTCTCAGTTTGTTCTGTTGCTGTAGTTACGGCTCGTTTTGGTCGTAACATTAATCCTTGTTTTGAGCGTCAGGATTGGGATGTGGGATTAGTAAAATTATTTTACATATTTTTTTTAGAATAAGTAAAAATAAAAAATAATTAAAAAATAAGATATGTAATAATTTTTTAATTTTATGTGTGAAATTAAAAAATTTTATTATTAATGTATAAAAACGAATTCTAAATAAAAAAATGTTTCAAAATTCAAATAGAGAAAATTAATAAATAACATGTAAATAATTAACTTTATAAAATCAATATATATATATAACTCAACTATAAACCTACAAATCAAAATCCAAAATTAAATAAATAAATTTAATATTAAATTAAGTTTTACTAAAATAATTCTACATATCTACTTATAAAAAATTCTCATCTTAACTAAAGTATTCCCTTCAATTCAAAAATTTTCCAAGCACTCTTGTTACCGTATTAAATACATGTAGATAACTTTCATCTTACATTAAAGGTTAGATGTTAGAGTTACCTTTTTTTTTTTAAATATATATAAGATTAGATGTCAAATGTTTACAAGTAATACAAACCTTTTCCTATAGAATATTCGTCCCAATAATCATGATAATTTACATAGTGTGATTGAAAATAATTTTAAATTATTAAAAGGGATTAATTATTATTTTAAAAAATGATTTAATTTTTATTTAAAAAATTTTATCTTTAAAAAAAGTGATTTATAAAATTAAATTAATTGTTCAGACTTTTGTATATATTCATGTTATCATCAACATCCAACAATGATATAATTAACAATCACTAATTAGAATAAAGCGCAATTGTTAGACACATGGATTGATGAATTTTTTTTATATATGATTGCTTTTTAAATACATAGTTTTTAAGGGAATTATAACTTTTTAATAGATAAGAATCATTAAAATTCTTAACTTGGGCTTAACTTAACCATAAAAATAGAGTGAGTTTTTGTAGAGATAATTTTAGATTCCAATTATAAGATTTTTATTTTTATAAAAAAAAATCTTCATTTAAAAAAAGACCTAACTTAAAAATAAAATAAAAAATTATAAGTACTAAAATTTGAATTCAAATTTATCGGATCTAAGAATCATTGTATTTTTTTTAAAAATATTATTAATATTAAAATTAGATTACTGATTATTTAAAGAATTTAAATTAATATTTTCAATTTTTTTATATTTCAATTTCATCTTAATTATGGGTGTAAATGATATATTAATACTCGTAAGCTACTCGGATTCGATTCGAAGAAAATTCGAATTCGGTTCGATTATTGTCGAGTCGAACTCGAGTAGCTCGATTTATCGATCAAGCCGAATTCGAGTATTCTTATATCCCACTCGAATAACTCGCGAGCTTAATCAAGTTTTTATATTTAAATATATTTTTATTATTTTAATTAATAAAATATTTTGAGTCCGAATTCGAGTTCGAGCATGAATAATCGAACTCTTGTCGAGTATACGAATCGAGCTTATTTTTATATATTAATCAAGTTTAATCGAGCGAGCTCCAGTAGCTCGAATTCGATCACGAATCGAGTTCGAGCTTGAAAAATAAAACTCGATCGAGCTCGAATCAAGTATCGAGCCCTGAATTGTGAGTCGAGCTCGAGCTTGAGCTTCTCACTATTCGGCTCGATTCGATTACACCTCTAATCTTAATACTAATAAAAATATTTTAAAAAAATAAAATAAAATGTCAAATAAGAAAAAAAAGTTGGAAAAAGGATTATTTTTTCTTTCCTTTTCTCTTTATTTTGTTTCTTTTTTTATATTTTTTTGGTAGATCTAGCATTATTCTTTTTTTTTTCTGCTTTATCAAAAGATGAGAACATGATTTTATTACACCAAAGCTAAGTGATCTGAAAGATCGAACTTTTTCCATGAAAAGAATAAGAATCCTAACCAAATTAATGACACCACCACACTAACAAAGAAGGGCCAAGGGATAAAAGGAAATTTTGATGGAATTTAATATGCCTCTTCCGAAGCTTTTCCTTGTGCATTTCCCTTTCACAAAACAATTCCACGAAAAGAAAGTACCAAATGAATCATGGCATAAAACAATCAATGAAAAGAGTTTTAGATTTTGATTTTTTTTCCCCTCTTCAGAAACTTAAATATTTGGGTTTGAATTTGAAATTAAGATTTGGATTTTATATTTATTAATTGAAAATACCTATAATTTTTTTTTATATAAAAATTTTGTCGTTTCGAGATAGAAAAAACAGGTTACAGGCTTCAACTAGAAAATGAAATTTTAATTTGAATTTTTCCTATATTTTTTTTATTTAAAAGTTCCACATGATAGATTTAAAGAAAAATTATGCACTAATAATGACATTTTTTATTATACTCTATTATTGATGTATAAAATATTAAAAAGTTATTTAATATATTAACAATGAAATTTTTTAATTTTACAAACGAAATTAAAATTATGATATATATTATACTTTTTTTAATTAACTTTTAATATATAAAAAATATGTATCATCATTTTAATCTTACTTGTAGAATTAAAAGATTTTACTGACAGTGTATTTGATAATTTTTTTAAAATATGTCTTTAAAGTTTTATATATATATATATATGTATATGTGTAAATCCATCCTTTCAGAATATATATGTTAATATGTTAATAGAAATACATTCCTAATATATTTATATATCCTCATTTAAATTAAAATTACTATATAATTTACACAAATAAAAAAAAATTGTTAGCATATATTCTAATTAATCAAGTGAAGCTTGTAGATGTAACCCTCACTAGAAGCAAGCCCAAATGCAAGTTTATGGATTTGTCAAGCAGCCATTGGTACAACTTTTGTTTAATCCATCCTTTTTAGAAAGGTAAAGACAACAATAGCACACAACAATAGGAATCACCAGCTATTGCTTATCAAATGCCATTATTCATACATTTTTGAAAATCAAATAGATTCCTAGAACTTGCTTGAACATAGGTCGCCTTTGGTATCTTTTCATATCGTAAATTTAATGGAATGTAACTGTTAGAAATTAAATTATTGAAAAAATAACTTTGGAATATATGAAAAAGTATTGATTAAAATCCTAAAAAATGTTACATTCCCAAAAACATAACATATCAAACATAAGAATAAACTTTCCACTGATTAAAATCTAAAAAATACCAACATATAAAAACTTTAAATGTAATAAAATAGTACATTTACATGTTAAAAATTACAAAAGAATCTATGTTTTTTCTTTTAGCTTTATGACTTTTTTTTTATTTTATTTTGAGAAGAAAGATTCCAACTCACCTTAACATCGAATAAATGCATTTTATGTTCTAAGTGTAATTTTTTTTTATGGTTGTTGAACTTTAATTTAATGTTTGAAAGACCTTGTGAAAATCTTGAAACATATGAAAATACTTGGTCCTTTTTATAAATACCATATATTTTGCATCTTGCATTCTTGCTTTAACCTTTTAAAAGTTTTGTACAAGTAATTTTTGAGTTTGTCCACTTTGATAACCATATTAAGAAGCTTAGAACTTTCTATTTTAATTCAGAAAAAGCAAGAAAGGTAAAAAGCATATTGTTACCGAGTGAAGTTTATAAGTTTTTGTGTTCCTTTCTTTCAAATTAGGTTTAATTTAGTATTATTGCTACGGTTGAAAAAAAATTATATTAAAAAAATGTATTTAAAAATGTGATAAGAAATAATTTTTAAAAATTTTAAGCTTTTAGTATTGCTTTGAAAAAGTGTTATAATGAATTGAAATGTCAAAGAAATGTTAAAAAAATATATATAAAAAAAGAAAATTAATATAAAATAATTTTGATTTTGTCGTAACAGTTTTGGGATCATCAGATGTAAAATAAGTTTTAAAATCGAGAAAATAAAATGGAGTCGCCATCAATCTTTGTTAAGAATGATTGGTCACCCAAAGGTTTATCTTTTTAATAAAACTATAAAAACGGATTTAAAGTTTATCAAAAAGATAAATTTCGGTCTACGAAAAATCAGGTTAGGTCCAGGAGTTGGTTACGTGTGGAGAAGGATTAGCACCCTCACAACGCCTATAATTGGTACCATTTAATTACGCGCTATTTTTTATGTTGGATAAAAATTATTTTAATTTAAAATTTAACACTAATTCCCTTCATTTGGAAAAGTAAAATTTTGCTAAAAATTTTTATTTAAAACTATTGAGAAAATCTTTAAGTTAAAGAATTATCTTAAAATTCTCTAACATCTAGGCAGAACTTAAAATAACTCTTTTTGCTAAAGATTTAACATAATAATCCTTAAAATGAAATAACAATCTTTATAGAAAATAATTGTTAGTGACTCTCCAACATCTAGACAGAGTACCAAGAATTATTTCTTTCGGAATGTTATTTTTGTTTTATTTTATAATATCACAAAATTTTTTTTTTAAAAGTATTATTCTTTTTTATTATAAAATATTTTATCATCAAACAGTAAATTAAAAAGAGAATAATACAGACAATTATCGATGATAACATGCTAACGTATGTATACTAATGAATGTCATGAGAAATGAAATGCAATTTAATAGTTGGGTTCCTAAGTATAATGAGACCACCCCGACTCTCCAACATCTAGGCAGAGCTTAGGTGTGACTGTTTATATTTAAAATCTCAATTTACTATTATACTTTTTATTTATTAATTGTATTCTTAATACGAATTAAAAAATCGTGTGAAAAGACTTAACGAAGTAAAATTTTCTAAATACCTTATTATCTAGGCGGCATTCGGGAACAAATTGCTTTAAATAGAATTTTCACACGTATCCCTAAGATTATTAGGAGGTTTTGAGTAAGGGCTTGAGTAGAGGTTTTGAATGTTTGATTTTAAAGTTTGGAGTTTTGATTTAAGGGTTTGGATTTTAGGGATTTTGGATTTAGGGGGTTTAAATTTAAGAGTTTAAAAGTTTGAGATTTTGGATTTTGGGGGGTTTGGATTTAAGGGATTTTGAACTTTTAGGGGTTTTAAAAACTTAAGATTTTGAAAATTAAAAAAGGTGTTTAAAGTTTAAGTAAAACGCGAACATCTCTA